GGGCTAATATATCTGCCTTCTAACAATCTCCTGTAGGTTGGTCCTGGCAGAAGTCATAAGAGTCGGAGATCTCCTGGACTATGACTGGGGAGACTGGCTGGATCCCCTGATGCTTGCTCAGCGTATGGGGCTCTCCAGACCTTGTACTCCCCAGTGCATACTTCAGGAGGTGAGGGCTGCTTTGCTGCCCGTGTTTACCTCGAACGGGTCCTGCACGAGGGCACACCCCGCCCACCCTCCACCCCAGGCCCACCAGACGTTTTGATCAGGCCCCTGCTCCGTGGACCCAACCAACTCCACTGCCCCTTCACCACGAGCTGGCTGCATGAGCTGCAGCCAGTCTGCTTCCAGACCGCGCCAAGGAAACATCTATACACGCTCGTGCTCCACTCCCTTCATGTCCTCACCCTCGCGTCCTGCCCCGATACAAAATGGCGGGACCTCCTGCCACCTCTGGAGGGTGAGAAGCCCCGGTGAGCCAGCCTATACTCCAGCTTGGTCCTGAGGCCCGCCGGGGATATCAGTTGGCGGCTCCTTCATGGAGCCGTGAGCACGGGCGTGTACTTGGCACAGTTCACCCCTATCCCAGACACCTGCCCCTTTTGCGACATGAGGGAAACCCTGGCACACATACACTTAGAGTGTGCCAGGCTGCAGCCCCAATTCCGGCTCCTCACAAATATTATTTTATGCTTTTAGTTACACTTTTCCCCTCACCTTCTTATTTATGCACTCCCTATCCGTGGCCCCACAAAGTCACAGGATCTCCTGGTCAACCCCCTCCTGGCCCTAGATAAAATGGCCATCTATAAAACCAGAGTGAGGAGATTGGCCGATGGAGTCTCCTGTGATTGTGGGGCCTATTTCCAATCCTCTGTCCGTTAACCTATCCGGGCAGAGTTCCTCTAGGTGGCGTCCACTGACTCCCTTGATGCCTTTGAGGAGCAGTGGGCGCTGTCCGGGGTTCTCTGCTCAGTATCCCCGTCCGGTTCCCTTCGTTTGATCCTTTGACCACACTCCTGTCCCTCTTATTTCATTAGTTGTCCACTGTATTTATTTGGTGTCCAGATCCTGTGGATCCCCCTCGTAAGCTGGGGGGGATCCTTTAGCAGTGGGCGGGTGAAGCCATCTGGCCTGACCCTGTCACAATATGTATAGAGACTGTTGTGAATCTATATGTATTTATATATAGAATGAGATGCTCATTACTTGTACTACAATTTAAAATATACCTCACAGCAGGGAGGGACTCCTCTCAGGCCAGGTGTTTACAGAAAACCAGACGCAACTAACAATCCATGAAAAGACAAATAATGTACCATTACAGTTAATGAGAAGACACAGACTCTGCTATCAAGTTGAGGGAATTTCCCACTTGCTCTGAATAACCATGAATTACTATAGTCTGAGAGAAAGGAAAATAAACTGCAAACCCTGTTAAAAGGGAAGGGTTTTGAAATGAAAGTCTTCCAAAAGTGAGGGACAGTCTCAAAGGCAGGGGACTGTTTGTGAATGCAATATCCCCTCTATGGCAGAGGGGTACGCTGCCAAACTGTTCAAAGGCAATAGGTAACTCGTATTAGAAAAGGGACTGTATCTAATGTATAAGTGTATAGCCTAAAGTTGCATCTTTATGTTTATTTTCTGTGTAAACTGTATGTGTTTGCTTCCCTTGCTATTTCATCTTTGAATCAGTGATTTTTCTGTTTGTGAGCAGGTGCCTGGATGGGCCACACTGAAAATGCCACACTCAGGGCAGACTGCAAGGCATAGGGTAGACAATTCTCAAAACTGCTGGTTTATTCTATTATTAGATTCACCAAGCCAGTAACAAAACAGATTCTGTAATACCACACCAGTAAACAAGAAGCCAAATGCAGTTCCCTCTAAGTATTCCAGCCCTTGACTCCCATCTAGACAGCCAAATCTAATATAGTGAGGGGTTATTGAAAACCTGATTCACCATATGTGAGGTTCAGCAATCCCAAAGGACTGGACACTTATCACCAGGTCAATATGAGTCTCGGATCTTACCCAATAATCACACTGATACCAATTCTTTACTAACAAAAACTAAAGGTTTAATAGGAAAAAGAAAAGAATCATAGAATATAAGGGTTGGAAGGGACCCCAGAAGGTCATCTAGTCCAACCCCCTGCTCGAAGCAGGACCAATTCCCAGTTAAATCATCCCAGCCAGGGATGTTCCAAATGGTTAAAGATCGATATACATACAAAGGTGTGTAAAGTTCTTAGGTGAGTTTCATAGCAGATGGCGAGGCTGCTGATTTGTAGAAGTCTTTCTGGAAACAATTTAAAGAGTTATAGTCCAATGGGCAATCTAGGTGCAGAGTCTGTTCAAGGCTTTCCGTGCATTTTCCAGGTTATACCAAATCATTATATGGAAGATCTTCATCTTACAACTGGTATTTTCCCTGTTCAAAGTTTAGACTAGAGATGGCAGGATCAGGCCCAAGGCTTTCCTTTATAGCTCTCCAGCAAGCTGACAAGCCTCTTCTCACAGCAGGACCTTCCCCCAAGGAAGAATAGGCAGTGTATATTGTCTGTGATCTGTTGCTTTGAAGCTAATCTTCTATTTTCGATACATGCACAGGTAAACTAGTTGCGTTCATTCACACAAGGCAATTAGCCAGCATTTCATTATAGCACAAATAGTTAAGCTGAAGACAATGTTAATATTATTAATTTCCTGCAGTATCTTACATCTTTGATCTTGAGGTTAACTGAACCATCTGGATGCATAATACAAGGCAATTAAGACATGAAAGAGAATTAGCATCTACAAGCTAATCTGGTTACATTGTTAAACGTCTAACAAGATACAGGTAAATATAGACAGCTACACTTTGCATCTACCCTTGATTTCTGTTACTACAAATAAATGGGTTAATGATTGCTGGTCTAGTACATCTCTTTGAAATTCACATATAAGTAGATTGCCTTGATTACATTTCAGTGCCTCTTGTTAAGTTATGGGTCATACCTAGGTTGGCTGGTCTGTCTGTGTCATACTATTAAATAAACCTTTTGTTTATTTTTACCCCAAGTGGTCTCTGTTGTGCAAACTGTATGGAGTGTATGTGCCAAAGTGAATTGGTAACTGGGGGCAGTTTCACACCTTTGGGGATGATGAACCAGAGGGGAAAAGTCCAAGTGTCTGGTAGTTAAGAAGTCAGGGTAGACGGATTTGGAGAGACTGCAAGGAGTGACCAGGCTGGCAGAAGCCAGCATGAGACCTTTACGCTTGTGGGCTGGCTACTGGTGTCAGGATTCTGAACCATAACAGCATAGCATTAAGGCCACCCAAGGTTACAGGGCAGGGGGTGACAGAACCCTTTACTGGTCTGGGTTATCCCCAAAACATCACAGCTATCCTACCTAGAGCTGAGGTGTGGAAAATGTGGATTTTTGTGAATCCCCACTGGTTGAACACTGTCAGGGTGAGGGGGTGCTTTATTGACCATTAGTGGTTTAGCAGTCTGCTAAGGTATTTTGTAACCCTGGTAGATGAAGGCTGAAATTGTTACTTGATAGGATATCCAATTCCACAGGATGGCCACTCTGGGGACACTAGGATGAAGGTGATGCTTCCCCCCCATCCCGGTGGGCTTGGAGACAACTTCAGGGAGAAGCTAGCCAGAAACTTCAACGGGAAGAGCAGAAGCAGCCAAAGCAGAGATTTCAGATATTGAGAACTTTCCAGTTTTGATTGGATTTTCTCTGCCCTGTGCTGATCAGCTGTTTGCTCCATCCTCCCCACCATCACTGCTCTCCAACTTAGCTTCATTCCATATCTGTCCCTCTTACCCTCTCCTCTCCTGTTCCCCTTGCCCCTCCTCCCCCCCCATTTAGCTTATCCCCTTCTAAGTAACCCCACCCATGTTACCCAAGAACACCTCTCTTGTACTCCCTCTTTCCCCTCCCCCCACCTAGCTCCAGAAAGTGCTGTTGCAGAGTGAATTGCTTCCCTCTGGGCTCTTGCAAATGGTGGGGACAGGGACTTTTGTATGATAATAGGGAAAAGCCACTCTGGGGGCAAGCGCCCCTGCATACTTCTCACTACACCCACCCATACCCTCTATTCCTCACCCCTTCCAAAAACAGTAGTACTCAGTGGAATTAAAGTAGCCCACTCAGTACAAAAAGAATTTAGAGGGAATTTTGTCAGACCTCTCAGGAAGGAATGACAGCAGGAGTAGCAGAGGAATGCTTCAGTAAAGAAGCAGGATCCCTAAAACTTGAGTCAGTGGCAATAGCTGCCAGGGCATTTTTTGTAGAGAACTGCTTTGAGTCAGATGAATCCTGCCTATCCTGGTCTCAGGAAAGCCTCAGACTTATTTAAAAGAAAAACCTTTAAGCAAGTCTGTTTTAAAAACAAAATGTCAAAGTACATTTCTTGGTGATATGCTGCTCACCAAGATAAAATAAACATTGAGTGTCCATTATTGAAAGGAACAGCCACCTCACATAAACCGTATTTAAAAAATGAGGGATTTTTGATCAGCCATGAGACTGAAGACCCAGTACCCGGCAAAGAAAAAAAACAAGATCCTCACGAATAAAGCTTACATAAATTTCCCCACACTAATTAACCCAAACTAAAGATAACTATACAATTTCTCTTGAAGAAGCACAAGTACAACAGATGGGCACTGCTCTCTTGCATCTCGCAGCCACAGGTGTAAAGGAACTGATGATCATTGGCCTTGTTCCACCTTTTATGCCCTCAGGTTGGTGGGATAGTGCAGGTGAGGCCCAATGGACACCACTAGCTAAAATTCCAATTTCAAGTGCAGGCACACCAGAAGTGGAATACTTATAGACAAATCACTCAAAGAACGGTAAATTATTTTAAACAAATGTACGGTAATGCTGCCAGTCTATTTCAATTACTTTTGTAATTAGAATGTCAAATGCTGATTTGCAGCTGAAAACTATAGCTGAAATTAATGAAAAAATTAAAATAAAGAGCCTTCAAAGTTATTTTCTGTTAAAGATGGTATGTTTATTAATTGAACAGTGCTTCAGTTGGTAGATTTTTTTAGATTTCATTAGCAAATTAAGAAATTCTACAATGCATATTTAATGTGCATTTTTCTATTTTTGACTCTCAAAAATGGTATTTCATATGGCCGTGTAATACTGGATCTAAAATGTTGACAAATTATATATCTTTCTATTTTAACAAAAACATTTTTTTTAAACAAAAATCACAAGCTAAATCTTCATAGTTTGTCAGAGTAAACTACATTCTGTTAGCTCATACTGTGACATTTAAAGAGCAGCTTTCACAAGGTTTACTCTACTACACAGACTAAATTTTAAGAATTTGTTAAAACAGAAGCACATACGTATATCACAAATATTAATATAAAATGTTTTTAATATCACTTTAAAAAGCTTGCATTTTATTCAGTATAAATTTGAAGTTTTGAGTTATGCATGTTCTCAACACATCCAAATTGTCCCTCTTTTGTGAAACATAATTTATACAAAATCATTTTTAATGTAGAATAAGTTAACTACATTCATCCAAAAGCACTTTTAGAGAGTCACTGAAATGTTTTCACATCTATTTTCAATTCTGAAATATTTAGGCTCTCTTTTTGTACCATTTTATTTTGGTCACAATTAATTAAAAAATGTAAACAATTAGTATAACAATAATCAGTAGCGGGAGATGTTGATAATTGGTGTCAGTCTTAAAAACAGTTTAAAAGTCAGGACACCATCTGATTACAGTTAACTTTTAGTCACAAATGTAGTCAATAAATATGAGAACAAATTAAAATGAATTAAAGTTACAACCCTAAGCAAATACATAATATCTGCTTTAAGAGGTATAACAAAAATCAAAAGTACAATATCATATAATATTGGCTGCATCATTTGGGGATATATATTTTAATGCTTAAAATAGCTGAAAGCTAGAGTTGTTAAACCTCATCTCTCCCTTAAAGGGCCAGAGTTTACACACTACTGGATATATATGTTTTGTGGCTGATGTCGGACCAGCATATTAACTCTTGAATGTTACATTTAACTTTCTCAAGAGTTATTTTAAGAAGGTACCATGGGCACGATAAAATAACTTGAATTTTCTTTGTCCTTCCCCCTCTTTTTTTTTTTTTTAAAAACAAAATTTTGTGATGAATGAACAGTAGATGATGAAAATCAATGTAATAAAAAGGCACATCCAGGCAAAATATTCAAGGCGACTGCATGATGCAATATTTAAAAAAATAATTTCTACACTGTGTAACTGATTGGATCAAAATCAAAAGTTATTCTGGCAGATTCTAATATGTGACAAAGTTTTCTGTAAAAGCTGTGCAATCATTAAAATACCAACCTTTTTTATGTACTGTTTTGTTTCTTAAAATCAGTATAAGGCTCAGAACCAAGTGCATGTTTAGAGGAATATCAAAACCTCCTGTTTTCTAGCTGCATAGAAACACAATGAGCAATGAGGAGATTCTTTCCAAAGAAATTTATTATTTCCATACAAGTCTTGTCAGGTACTTGATCGTCTCTCTGGTCTTGGTACACATTTCATAATTGCAGCTCTCCACAGTGCTGGGGCAAGCAAAAGGCTTAGAGTAGTTACACTCAAAATAAGGAGGTATACCTGAAAATTAGAGATCAGAATGCCATTACTTCTCTACAGTTCATATTCATAGTTATGCAATAAACTAAGGAAGGGTTGGGAAGGTTAATGAGATATGCCAATTAGGGAATTTCTGGACCACTTTTAATAGAGGCCTAAGACTGGCCTCCAACTCTGTGCCTGCAATTGCACATGCAAATGTATTCACAAATTAAGTAGTGAAATGAAAATAATTATTGGTATATTTTACAGGACAATTTTAAAACTGCAACCCACAGGATGCAATATTGGACAAGACCAAAAGCCAAGTATCAACTACATTTAAAACAAAAACAAACAAAAAAAAACACCACAAACTATATTTGGTGTTAATTAACACCAAAATGTGCTAGCCATTTTACAGTTAAAAATCAAGCCATAATCCATACCATAAGTGCTTACATTCATTCTAAAGGCATAACTATATGACTGTACATCCTGAAGAGTTTAAAATCGTTACTTTTAATTAAAAAATTTTAAAAAAGCTGTTTACATCTTTAAAAACGAATAGTTTTTTTGGAAATTTAAGTGCTAGACCTTGACTTAAGTAAGGCTTTTGATCGTGCATGACCGTCTCATAAACAAACTACGGGAAATATAGCCTAGATGGAGCTACTCTAAAGGTGGGTGCATAACTGGTTGGAAAACCATTCTCACAGAAAAGGAGTACTTGTGCCACCTTAGAGATGAACAAATTTATTTGAGCATAAACTTTCGTGAGCTACAGCTCACTTCATCGGATGCACACACAATTGTGATCTCTGTTTGCACAGGCTGCAACTATTTTACAAAAGTGCAGTTTTTATAACTCTTCATGTTATGGAGGGGAGCATACTGCCATTAGTAAGAATGCCTATATAATACACTATGTTTTTATGTCTCCCTTATATGTAACTGGCCCCAACAACTATACAGCTTCCTGCTATCACAGAATAAAGGAGTTCTTTAGCTCAAGTAATAGATTTATTTATATTGTTTTTTGTGCTGAGACTGTGGGCTCAATTTTTATTGACAAATTTATTACAAGTTTAGAAGTGTGAGCAACAAGGGTGATGTCGTGGTGGGAGTCTGCTATAGACCACCAGACCAGGGGGACAAGGCGGACGAGGCTTTCTTCTGGCAACTCACGGAAGTTACTAGATCGCAGGCCCTGGTTCTCATGGGAGACTTCAATCACCCTGATATCTGCTGGGAGAGCAATACAGCGGTGCACAGAGAATCCAGGAAGTTTTTGGAAAGTTTAGGGGACAATTTCCTGGTGCAAGTGCTGGAGGAACCAACTAGGGGCAGAGCTCTTGACTTGCTGCTCACAAACCGGGAAGAATTAGTAGGGGAAGTAAAAGTGGATGGGAACCTGGGAGGCAGTGACCATGAGATGGTCGAGTTCAGGATCCTGACATAGGGAAGAAAGGAGAGCAGCAGAATACGGACCCTGGACTTCAGAAAAGCAGACTGACTCCCTTAGGGAACTGATAGGCAGGATCCCCTGGGAAAATAACATGAGGGGGAAAGGAATCCAGGAGAGCTGGCTGTATTTTAAAGAATCCTTATTGAGGTTACAGGGAGAAACCATCCCGATGTGTAGAAAGAATAGTAAATATAGCAAGCTTGGCTTAACAGTGAAATCCTTGCTGATCTTAAATACAAAAAAGAAGCTTACAAGAAGTGGAAGACTGGACAAATGACCAGGGAAGATATTGCTCGGGCATGCAGGAGTGAAATCAGGAAGGCCAAATCACACCTGGAGTTGCAGCTAGCAAGAGATGTTAAGAGTAACAAGAAGGGTTTCTTCAGGTATGTTAGCAACAAGAAGAAAGTCAAGGAAGGTGTGGGCCCCTTACTGAATGAGGGAAGCAACCTAGTGAGAGAGGATGTGGAAAAAGCTAATGTACTCAATGCTTTTTTTGCCTCTGTCTTCACAAACAAGGTCAGCTCCCAGACAACTGCACTGGGCAGCACAGCATGGGGAGGAGGTGACCAGCCCTCTGTGGAGAAAGAAGTGGTTCGGGACTATTTAGAAAAGCTGGACGAGCACAAGTCCATGGGGCCGGATGCGCTGCATCCGAGAGTGCTAAAGGAGTTGGCAGATGTGATTGCAGAGCCATTGTCCATTATCTTTGAAAACTCATGGCGATTGGGGGAAGTCCCAGACGACTGGAAAAAGGAACTACAGGCCAGTCAGCCTCACCTCAGTCCCTGGAAAAATCATGGAGCAGGTCCTGAAGGAATCAATTCTGAAGCACTTAGAGGAGAGGAAAGTGATCAGGAACAGTCAGCATGGATTCACCAAGGGCAAGTCATGCCTGACTAATCTAATTGCCTTTTATGACGAGATAACTGGCTCTGTGGATGAGGGGAAAGCAGTGGACGTGTTATTCCTTGACTTTAGCAAAGCTTTTGACACTGTCTCCCAGAGTATTCTTGCCAGCAAGTTAAAGAAGTATGGGCTGGATGAATGGACTATAAAGGTGGATAGAAAGTTGGCTAGATTGTCGGGCTCAACGGGTAGTGATCAATGGGTCCATGTCTAGCTGGCAGCCGGCATCAAGTGGAGTGCCCCAAGGGTCGGTCCTCGGGCCGGTTTTGTTCAATATCTTCATAAATGATCTGGAGGATGGTGTGGATTGCACCCTCAGCAAGTTTGCAGATGACACTAAACTGGGAGGAGAGGTAGATACGCTGGAGGGTAGGGATAGGATACAGAGGGACCTAGACAAATTAGAGGATTGGGCCAAAAGAAATCTGATGAGATTCAACAAGGACAAGTGCAGAGTCCTGCACTTAGGACGGAAGAACCCAATGCACAGCTACAGACTAGGGACCGAATGGCTAGGCAGCAGTTCTGCAGAAAAGGACCTAGGGGTTACAGTGGACGACAAGGTGGATATGAGTCAACAGCGTGCCCTTGTTGCCAAGAAGGCCAATGGCATTTTGGGATGTATAAGTAGGGGCATTGCCAGCAGATCGAGGGATGTGATCGTTCCCCTCTATTCGACATCGGTGAGGCCTCATCTGGAGTATTGTGTCCAGTTTTGGGCCCCACACTACAAGAAGGATGTGGATAAATTGGAGAGGGTCCAGCGGAGGGCAACAAAAATGATTAGGGGACTGGAACACAAGACTTATGAGGAGAGACTGAGGGAACTGGGATTGTTTAGTCTGCGGAAGAGAAGAATGAGGGGGGATTTGATAGCTGCTTTCAACTACCTGAAAGGGGGTTCCAAAGAGGAGGGATCTAGACTGTTCTCAGTGGTAGCAGATGACAGAACGAGGAGTAATGGTCTCAAGTTGCAGTGGGGGAGATTTAGGTTGGATATTAGGAAAAACTTTTTCACTTGGAGCGTGGTGAAACACTGGAATGCGTTACCTAGGGAGGTGGTAGAATCTCCTTCCTTACAAGTTTTTAAGGTCAGGCTTGACAAAGCCCTGGCTGGGATGATCTAGTTGGGGATTGGTCCTGCTTTGAGCAGGGGGTTGGACTAGATGACCTCCTGAGGTCCCTTTCAAGCCTGATATTCTATGATTCTATGTTTGTAGCCACAGTTCATTGCAATTCATACAACAAGCTTTCCCTCTAGAGAACAAGGTTGTAATAGCTTGAAAATGAAAATAAGTCTGATGGTCTCACTGTAGTGCATGTTTTCATAACTTATGGAAAAGCTGGCCATTTTTGCTTAAAACAATTTAAGTCAACAGGTTTTGGAAGTCAAGATTAAGGTATGCTGACAGATGTGTTTGGGAAACTAGTATGTCTCCTGTCCCCACACTCTGTAGCTGTAGGCCACTGTTATTTCATTAGTCGTTTTCAATAACTATCAGTTACATATAGATCTACGATATTTTAAAGGGTCTTCAATCTTAGCTTTAATAATTTGGGTGTCATCAGAAATTCTCCATCAAGTACAAAACTTTAGAGTTGTTAATTCTTTATAGAATTAAAGACTGTGCCAAATTAAAAACAAGTTACCCAAAAGGGAAAGCTGCATTTTAAAAATATGGAAGCCCAATATGAAATTATATGAATGATGCATAAATTATTTAGCGAAGTTACATTTATGAAAGACTTGCATGCATCAAATATCTTCTGATTTATGCAGGCCTATTTCATTTAGTTAGCATGTGCAAGATGATAGCAAAAGATTACCAATTTAGACTGTATGTTTCAGATACAATATAGTATACAAAACCCAATCAACTACTCAGTTTCTAAAAATGAAGTGAATATCTCTAAGGAGCTCACCTCTCGAGAAATGATCCCTGCTCTGCGTGCTCTACTTCCCAGAACAAAAGAAAACTCACTGACTTGAGCCAGCCCTGCTGAGACAATCCATTTGATATACTGGCTGCTCTTTGGAAGAATCAGAGAAAGGACAAGCACTGCCAAAACAAACTTTAAAAAACAAAGTTTGTTTTTAGAAGTATGGTAGATAAAACAGCATGCTCTCTGTAATCAATACAACAACAGTTACACCAGGTATTCTATTATCGTGTATTGAACAGCACAATGGTCTTCTGAACCAACAGTTACTGTGCATTTAAACACTTAAATCAGACTGTTCATTAGCAGCTGTCCTTTATACAGTTTACAAGTAGTACAGAATTTGGTTTAGTGAAAACATTTGATAATGCTGGCATACATCCTGCAAAATCTAGACTCATGGATGTCAATCTAAATTTAACAGCCCCCTTTAATGTTAAAAAGTCCCATTAAATACTGGGAGTCTCACATCAAAATATAATACTAAGTAAAAATTACAGAATATATAGCAAAAACTGATATTAAACACATTCTTCAAAGTAATAACACTTTATATATTTCCCTAGTTCACAGGGGTGTTGCAAGGATAAATACATCAAATACTGTGAAGTGCTTTGAGATCTACTGATGAAAAGCACTAGGTATTTATTATTATTATATAAAAACATTTACTATATTTCACAGACACACACTGTATTCAGAAGAAATCTTTGCCAACATGACAATTCTATACTTATGCACTTCTTTTTAAATATTACATGTATTATATGGCATGCAGCACTTAAAATACTATGTTATCAAAAGATAAATAAAAAAATACCTTCATTATTACCACTGATAATGTAAGAAATAGTAAGACTGTGAGTTCATATATTACAAAGGTGGGGAAAACATGAAGCCCTGTAAGAGAAACCGAGAATGGGTTAGAAATATTATTGCTTTACCATATCATTTTCCAGTAATAGTGAATATAACACAAGAACATTTACATGTACATTTCTAAACATACAAAGGATGATGAATTCCTGATTGGTTTTCTTTGTAATAGTTTCTCTTAAATACATCTGTGGAAATCACTGGAACAACATAGTTATGTTACAAGATAATTGTGATTTCTTTTGCTTTTGTTTAGTTGGTTGTTCTGGGGGGAAGCTACAAGATTAGGAAAGATTTTTTTAACTTGTAAAGTAACTGGAGTTCTTCAAATGTTTGTCCCTATGACTATTCCACTTTAGGTGTGCATGTGCCCCATGCCCCTTTGATGAGAGATTTTTGGTAGGTGATAGAAAAGCCTGTTTGGTCCATGCACACACCCTAGCTATCCTCATGCTTTGTACCAAGGGTTACTCCTGGGGGAATTCTGTGCTACTGCACACGTGCATAATTAATGAGCTGCACATATTTTTATTTTTTTGTGCAGGAAAAAAAAAGCTTCTGCCGAAATGTTGCTGCATTTCCACCTTTTACCCACCAGAAGGCGATGTGGTGATAGAACATAGCAGCAGCTCCTGGACAGCTAGGAAAGAGAAAGAACCTGCCTTCTTCACAGCGCCTGTCAGACCAGGTCAGGAGACAGGGGCTATGAGGAGACAGACAGCGTGGGGTGGTGGAGGGGGTCAGATAGGGGCTCATAAGGGCTAGTGGGGGAGGACAGACTGGGGCAGGAGCTGAATGGGAGTGGAGGCACAGGGCCACATGGTGATGGGGGGAAAGGATGCAGCGCCACATAGGGACAGGGGGGTGGCTGAATGGGGGCACAAAAGATGCATGGGGATGGGGGTGCAGGGACACAGGGACAGGGGGTGGCTGGGTGGGGACACAGACATATAGGGACTGGAGGAAGTGCTACAGGGACACACAGGGATGGGGGAATGGGTGTGTGAGTGGGGGCTGAGGGACATGTGGACAGGAGGTGTTGTGACACTTAGGGGTGCAAGAACACATGGGGACAGGGGCAGATGTGCTTGACTGAATGGGAGAGGCTGGAGTCAGCAGGGTCTGCATGGGGGAAGCTCCCTAACAATCCCTCTCCGCCCCCCCAAAAAAACCTGTTCCATATTTTTCCCCCACACATACCCAACAACCCTCCAAGTTCACACCCAAGCTCCTTCCCAATAATTTACTTCCCTCTCCCTCAGCTCCTCCATTACCTCTGACTCCCCCAAGCCTTTGCACTGCTTCTGAAGGGTGTGGGAAATATGGTTCTGTATTATAGTTTAAATTAATTATTACTCAGAGTTCTGTATTAATATGCCTTGTAAGGAATCTGTCAAAAAATATTTCCTGAATCTTTTTTGTTGTCTGTATTGTTACAAACATACTTTCTGACAGGTATTTTGAAATTAATGACCAAAAATAATTGAAACTGGTGTGATTATATTGTGTTATTTTGACAAAATATGCAGAATTTGAAAATACTGTGCACAGAATTTTTAATTTTTTGGCACAGAATTCCCGCAGGAGGACAAGGGTATATAGGGTTGTGATGGACAAACAGCACTTGGTTCCTTCTCTATCCCATGTAAAAAAGATTTTGAAGTTGGGGGGAAGGAGTGCAGGTAATGGAGCATCCATATGAACAAACATCTTGAAGAACTCCAGGTACTGTACAAGGTAAGTAACCTTTCCTTTTTTGAGTTATATCCTTTACATGTGCTCCACTTCAGGTGCCTCATGAGCAGTACTCCTCAAATGGAGGTGGGTGTTTTGGAGCAGGGTCTAAGACTATCTGGAAAGCAGCAATTCCAAAGGCAGCATCTGCCTGAGATACATGCACTAAGGTATAGTACTTTGAGAAAGTGTGGATGGAGGCCCATGTGGCAGCTTTGTTAATTTTTACAATAGGTCATTTTTTTTTAGTAGGGGTACAGAAGTGGACTGAGATCTGGTAGAATGGGCTATAGCCCTAGGAGGACGCTGGACATTAGCAGCCTTGCAGCAGGAGAGAATTCAACTAGAAACCCATTTGGAATATCTTTGGGTGAACACAGGTATCTCTTTAACTCTGTCTGTGAAAGAGATAAATAATCTAGGAGAGGCACAAAAGGATCTAGTCCTGTCCAAATAAAAGGCTAATAAAAAGGTGAAGAGGGGCTTCCTCCCTCCACCAATTAGGTTGAGGATGAAAAACCGGTACATTAAATATGAAAATACAAGGTCACCTGTGGTGAGAACCAGGGATGTGGTCAGAGAAATACTTTGCCTTTAAAGAAAACTCTGTAGGAAGGATCAGCCATCAATCCTCTTGCTCACCAACTATGTGAGCAGGGGGATAGCCACCAGGAAAGTTGTTTTCATGCATAACTAGAAAAGCAAGCAAATGGCCAGTGACTCAAAAGGGAGGTTTCAACTGAGTGTTGAAGATCAAATTCAAATCCCACGCGGTGGTGGGCTTCCTGACCTGCGGAAATATATTAAATAACCCTCTGAGGAACTTTGAAGTTGCAAGATGAGCTAACACCAAACACACTTCCACAGGAGAATGAAACCCACTGATGGCTGTTATGTGAACATTAACAGAACTCAGAGAAAGGTCTGTGTTCTTTAAAATAAAAGGTTCTCTATAATCTCCAAGAGAGGAGAGCTGGTGGAAGAGAGTTGTTGTTGCATACCCCAGTGGTAAAAATCTCTTCATTTCTGCAGGTAAGTTTTTCTAGTTGATTCTTTTCTGGTATTCAACAGTACCTGTTGAACCTCTATAGAATAGGATAATTCTATTCCCAAGAAGCAACCAGCCGCCAAGCTTTGATTCATAGAATGTTCAGGTTGGGAAGTATTCTTCATCCCAAAGTCTTGAGTGAGAAGATCGGGCATTAACGGAAGATTGATAGCAGGGTGAGATGAGAGACAAATTAGGTATGGAAACCATGCCTGCCTCAGCCAAGTCGGCACAATCACAGTAACTTTGGCTTTGTCCTGTTTAATCTTGTGTAGGACTCTGAGGATGAGAGGTGTTGGAAGACAGCATAGAGCAAGTTCTTTGACCAGGAGATGTGAAAGGCATCTCCCAAGGAATGACAACCTAGACCTCCTCTTGAGCAAAACGGTCTCTTGGTGGTGGTGGCAAAAAGATCTATTTCTGGGAAAGCCCAAGAAAGATATATCTGTTTTATTATGGTGTTATTGAGTTCCCACTCATGATCTGGACAGAAGCGCCTGCTTAGATCATTGGCTATGGCATTCTGGAGGCCAGGTACGCAAACAGTTGCAATAAGGATGTGATGGACTACACAGCAGTTCCATAGCTTTATTGCTTCCGCAGAAAGGGAAGAGGATCTCGCTTCCCCAAGAGAATGTATGTAATACATACTGATCCTATTGTCTGACATTCGGACAGATTGTCCTTAGATCATACAAAGGAAGTGTTGATAGGCAACTCTGATGGCCCTGAGTGCCAGAAGGTTAAAAGATCCCTGAGAGGTTCACGTGCCCTGAATAGTGTGCTCTTGAAGATGAGCCCCCCATCCTAGAAGGGAAGCATCAGAAACAACAGTGATGGTGGGGGGTGGATGGGTGAAGGGGACTTTGCTGGGATTCTTCCACCAGTCAAGAGACACTAGTAAATGATGAGGAATGGATGCTGAGGAATGGGGAGTAACTTGTTCAATCTTTGTCTGTTGGACAGGCCTGGAAGCAGCAGAGTTGTAACCTGGCATGTGATGTGGGGAAGGTACATGCTGCCATGTGGCTGAGGAGCTGCAGAGAAGTCCTGGCAGTTATCTGAGGACTCCTCTGTACTTGCATAACCAAATTTGTTAATATAGTAAATCTGACCTTTGGTAGGTAAGGTCTGGATTTGTAGCAACCAGAATGGGGTTGTGATGGACCTAAGAATTCTATTTGCTGAACTGGTGAGAGAGAGGACTTCTCAGTATTAAAATGAAGCTCTAGCATGTTGAACAGAGTCACAGCTTTCTTGATAGTGACTTGAACTTTGGTGTAGCCAAATCATCAAGCTAGGGGAAGACAACTAGTCCCCATTACTGAAATTTGGTGGCAACTACCACCATAATCCTTTGTAAATATCCTGAGGGCAGTAGGAAGCCTGAAGAGGAGCACTTGACATTTAAAGTGCTCCTCTGACTTACGACACAACATAGAAACATCTTACGAGAATGATGTATTGCAAATATGAAAGTATGTGTCTTGTATATCGAGGGTTGCGAACCAGTCACCCCGGATTTAGAAATGGTATAATAGCTTCAAGTATCACCATCCTAACCTTCTTCTCCTTGATGGAGGCATTTAGCATCCTGAGATCTAGACCAGTCTCCAACTGCCTTTCTTTTTGGGAACCAGAAAATATTTGGAATAGAACACTTTCCTTTTGTGCTCGGTGGGATCTAGTTCCACCGTTCCTATATGCAGAAGGGACAAAACCTCTGGTCTCCACAGAGGTTTATGAGATGGGTTCCTGAAAGGGACAAGGAAGGGGATGGGAAGAGGATATGGACTTGAAATGGATGGAGCAGCCTCATGTTATAACCTCCAAAACCTATCTATTGGAAGTAATCTACTCCCATGAGGTGAGAAAATGAGAGAGATGATTGCCAAAAGGTGGGCAGATCACAGTAGGATGATGCAATGTCAGATGCAAAAAGTGGGACAAAGGTATCAAAATGTACGGTTGGCTGATAAGGACGGCTGAGTTGTTGCTGTCAAAGTAGCCAATGCTTTTCTTTTCTGTAGTGTAAGTTTCTTTCTAGGAAGTTCTCAGGGTTCGCGGTAAGTAGAAAATTGAGCCCATTGTGACCTATCGAATATTCTCTTGCTTGCAGATGTACAGAACTCCAGTGAACAAAGGGTAGCCCTTGATTCCTTCAGAGTGTGTAAGGACTCATCTGTGGACTCATTGAGACCACCAAAGGGAAAGCCTTCCACTATATTACTCCCTTGAGATTCCTGAAGACTACAGCCATGAGGCTCACGACATGACAACAGCTGCGGAGATGGAGTGAGCTGCCATATCAGCTACTTTGAGGGAAACTTGTAAAAAAGTTATTGCTAGGAGCTGGTCTTCAGTGAAGATGGCCTTAAACTATCCTTGGAGGGGATGTTCAATAAAGGAGTTAAACTTGCTATACTTAATGTCGTTGTATTTAGCAAGGAGCACCTGATAATTAGCAATTCTGAACTGCACAGAGGCAGATGAGTAGCTCTTGCAATCAAAGTGGTCCAAGTGCTTTAGATCTTTATCATGGGGTAGGGAGCGTCCTTTTTAATAATGTCTGTTGCATTCATTCACAGCATCTATAGCCAAAGAGCTGGGGGCTGGATGCGTGAAGAAAAATGCCATTCTCGAGCAGGAATGTAGTATTTTTGTATCTGCCCTCTTACAAGTTGGTGGCACTGTGGCAGGGATTTGCCAATTGTTTTTGTGGGCTCTAGAAAAGCCTCATTTATGGGTAAGGCTACTTGAGTAGAGAAGGAGTATGAAGAAAATCCAATAATCTATGTTGGAACTCTTGGACTTCTTCCAAGGGAATGTGGAGAGTGTCAGTGACAGTTCATCAGGTCCTGAAATTGTCTGAAATCATCTGTGCGGGTGTGGGGGTGAGATAAATGCTTCATCAGAGGACGACAAATAAATATTTATTTAAGGGGTTGCCTCATTAGCTCTTTTTTCTTGTTCTTCCAACAACTCCTCCTGTGGTGGGGACTGAGATGGAGGGGTGGAAGGAACAGAAGAGCGCAGATTCTGGTGCTCAATCTGGGAGCTAGATGCCTTGGAGAGCTGCTGCTGATAGGCAGCCCAAAGATCCCAATATGGCCATTGAGGGGGGCAACAAGGGAAGTGTGGGGAGACACCCAAGCTTAGTCATACTAAGGAGGATGTGGAACGGCTTGAGGCTGTCTGTGTCTTGAAATGTCCCTTGGTGGTTTAACAGTTCAGCCGAGAACTATTAGCTATGAATATTCCAACCCAGTCACTTGTACATGACCAACAGGTTTACACTAGCCTGCCAAATTCACCCTCCCCCTCCGTGTGTAAAACAGCTCCAATTTAATTGAGAGATTTAACAATTACTCAAGAATTGGCATTTAAAAATGCCAATAAGAGGCCAGAGTTATTACAGATTTAATTTACACATCCATAAAATATTTCAATACTGTATTTAAAAATAAAACATTAGTAAGTTAATGTAGTTAGTGAATACATTTCTTAATATTTTTACAAAATAAAAATCCCATAAACCCCTCCCCCCCACTTGCAGTCTGACACTTAATGAACTTCCTAAAAAAGTTACCTATAGATGCAAAGAAAATGATGGCAAGAAAGTCACGTATTGGTTCAATACAGGACATAATCTCTTCAGTAACCATGTGACCCTGAGAAGAGATCAGTGCTCCAGCTAAGAAGCATCCCAATTCCATTGAAACATCCAATAGCTCTGTGATCTGTTAAAGAAGAATGGAAAGTTTATTCCTATTCTCTGGCTGTCATCAATTATTATAATAGTTTACAGATACAGACTACAAAAATACTGCTTTGGGATTTAACGTATTACTTATTGCATCTCAATACAATTTCAACAATGAAAGGAATTTACAAGATTTCAATATATTATTCTACAGTAATGTATTTACTGTGGTAATCTAGATTATTAATAAACTAGACACCCTCTAGAAACATAATTGTAAATTTTCTATCCCACACTTTAAGACTTCTTGTATGATGTTCCAGGAATAACATCTAGTCCCACTGACTCCCATTGATATCAACAGAGATAGGATTTCACCTAATTTAACTAATTTAAACCAGCAAATTTCCTGCCAATTGTTAAACAAGGATAAATACTCTGAATTTATAATCTGGGACAAGATTATGGTCTTGATTTAACAAAGGATTTGAGCATGTGCTTAAATTCTGTTAATGGGATTTAAGAACATGCTTAAGTGCTTTGCTGAATAGGGATGAATTTAAGCACATACACAAGTGCTCTGCTGAAGTGGAGCCTATCATACTTGAAAGATGTTACACATTGCTCTTCTGTTGCTGCTTGTCTGTTTATGATCCATGGCATTAAAAAGGAAAGAAAATGGTTGTCAAGAGTTCAATTTAAGCTTACAAAATCAAGGAAATTGCACCATGCAAAATGAAGACAATGCTCTGAGTGTTCAAATAGTGAGTAGCACTTTTTATCACGTATAAAAGTATTCAAAAATAATATATATAACAATAACTGGTATTTAAAATCCTGCTGCTGCAGGCAGACATCTTACTGAAAGACAATGTCATAAATACTGAGGGAACGCAGTAAACTGACAATTTCCATCCTAATTTAGATTAAGCAATAACATGTTACACAGTACATTTATGCCTTGGATGGTGTTGCAGTATAAAGTAAGAGGCCTAAACCCAAGAAACTACAATCAAAGGAGGAAAGCATTAATCCCCGAGATATGCACTGCCTAGAATGTCTTATTTACTATGAACTGGAATCAACAAATAAAATAATAAAAAAACAAAACAAAAAACCAGACCTGGGTATTTGTCAGTATTAATGAATTGACTGCTGATTAAACAACTCCATTTGTCCACAGTTTTGAAGCAATTCCAAAACATTGAATCATATGGATTGGTCTATCACACAATATAGTTATTTATCAGTAATCAAACTAATAAAAGAAAATTATAGCCCATGTAGGCTGCCATATCACATCTGGATACCCCATATGTTAAGAATTAAATTAAATTTTATTTTCAAAGTATGGACTGCTCTTATCAGGAATTTAAAATTATTAGAGAAGTTTTAAAGCTTCAAACCACTTTGGCAGAGAAAAACAAACAAAAAAAACCCAACACATGTTGGTGGATGTGATGGAATATATGAGTCAAAGAAATTTTACAGAATTTTTTTTAAATTATTTATAAAAGAAACAGCACTGTAGGGAATAATCATACTTTAAAAACAGCATTTTCAGCACACAACTGAAATATGCTTTTGCTACTAAGATATAACACTGCTCTATATATTACATACTGAAATGTAAGCACAACATTTATATTCCAATTTATTTATTTTATAATTGTATGGTAAAAATGAGAAAGTAAGTAATTTTTCAGTAATAGTGTACTGCGACACTTTGTATTTTTATGTCTGATTTTGTAAGCAAGTAGTTTTTAAGTGAGGTGAAACTTGAGGTAAGCAAGACAAATCAAACTCCTGAAAGGGGTACAGTAGTCTGGAAAGTTTGAGAACCACTGCACCAGAATGAAAGCAGTATTATAAAACCCCCAGCCACACAAAACATTTACTACTATTCTACCTGGGGAAAACCTACAGTATTAGTATCACACATACAGTAGCTAATACTGCAGGAAAAAATACAAGACAAATGGGATTTAACCAGACCACAACTTTATTACGTAATGCATCTGGTAATAACTAATCCAGTCCAGGTCATCCTTCTTTTATAACCCATAGCACCTGGTGGAGAGTCACTGTTTGTGCCCCCACCCCATTAATCTGATCCCAGCAATGCTGCTGGGACTCCATCACCCCCGCTTCCTCCATCAGAGAGCTAAGCAGTAGGAAGGTCTCCTTGCTTTATCAGTCATTAGGAGCCCCATCCCCATTTCCCGCCTTCTCGTAATCCACTTCCAATTCCAGTTCATCAGGAAATTAGATCCCCACTGAACGATAACCTGAACTGAACGCCTGCCAAACTGCAACAAAAATGAATTTTGCCACCTAATCTACACACAAGATCCCTGGGCTCCTGAGAGGAAAGTGACAAAAACACACACTGCGTAGGCCAATTGGAGGGAATTTTTCCCCCCAGCCTCAAAAAGGCAACCAGTATTATGCCCATAACAAGGTCCAAAAAACCTGATCCTATATTAATCCCAAATTGGGGTGGAGAAGGGGGAGCTTTTCTTCCTGCTGGCCCAAACTATCCCTCCCACATCTGAGGCTGCAGTGGAATGGTGAGGGAGGAATGGGACTGTTCTGTTTTGCTCGCAGTCACAACTGTGGCATTTGCAATGTGTTTTCTGCAATGCCAACCTCCCACCATCAAGGATTGCTACAGTGAGCCCAAACCTTTTAAGGTTTTCAGTATTACTGGAAAAAATACATATCACAAAACAGAGTTTAAGTTTTGAACTCCTGATGATAATCTATTCTAAAAAACTAAAATTCACCAGAATGTCTATACAACTTTATGGCAGATGAAGGCCCAGCAGCTTCCAGACTCCCAGTTTATTTGGAGACTTGCCCTTGGAAAAGTTTTCAAACCTTGACAATTGTAATGTCACGAAACAACCTTATAAAACCGTAATAAACCAGGATTCTTCATTTGAGCAAAACTACCCCACTGGAAGTGTTTATACTAAAGCACTCATTTCACTCATGCCTTCAGACAAAAACATGCAACTGTCAAATATGACACAAATCAGTGTCCCAGTATGAATGGCCAGGACGGGTTAAAGGAAAGAGAAAAGAAAATGCAAGAATGAGGATTATTTAAATACCACCGTTAGATTCCTAGCCAGAAACCTTGTATTCTTCTTTGTTCAACTGTGCCTACCAGTTCTCCTGTATCCCAAATATGTACCAATAGGGTAATGAGTTTCTTCAATTAAATCTACAGCATACTTATTTAAGTAACATATATGAGATGAAAGCTCTTTCTTAATCTCTTTAATTAAAGAATTGAGAAAGCTCCCAAACAACACAGTTATTCAAGAAGTCCTACAGCAAAAAGGGGTTGATAAGATTTGACAATGCTAATATTTTTAATCCAATTTCCAATCCAATTGATGCTACTTCCTGTTCTACCTCTGATGTAAGGGTAATCATTCTGTTCCACATCTTATTTGGTAAAGTAATGTCACTGGCAAAGTTAAGGTTGTGTAACTCGTATCCGTTAACTCATTTTGTACCCTCTGCAATGCTTTTTGTTGCCTCCATCATTATCCAGTGTAGTGCTAATGCAAAGAGTGTTGATGATAACACAACACCAACCACAATACTGAACCACTTACCCAAGCCTGTAATCAATTTTACTGTGCATCTACTTTCATCATAAAAACTCATTATTTTAATCAGCTTGCCTGGTATCCTGTAGCTTCTAGCAATATTCCACGGGGTCTCTGTGGATGCTATCAATCACTTTCTTAAAGTCAGTGAAGTTGATTAAGATGGGTTTCTGCCAAGAGGTAGCTTTTTTCGATGATCTGGCAAAGAGTGAATGTTTGTTCACAATATGATCTACCCACATGGACCCCTGCCTGTTGTAGTAATATTTCATCCACTGCCTTCTACATTCTACTCAGCCTAACAGTAGCTGATACTTTGCCCAGGATTGATAGCAATACAGTATCTCCCCCATTTGTGCATTGAGTAAGATCACTCTTTGTTGGCAATGCCACAATACCCCCATCTTTCCAGTCTTGTGGCACTGGTTCTTTCACTCATATTTCATTAAAGTTTTGTTAGCTGCTCAATCAGAATTTCACCTCCCACCTGTGCTACTTCTGTTTGAATTCAGTCAAACCCAGAAGCTTTCCCTTGTTTGAAGCCTTTGATGGCTGCTTAATTTCATCGGGTGTTATTGGTCCCACTTTCGTTTTTAATTTAGCATTGGCATTTCTCTTGAACCTGTGCATGATCGTCAGCTCTGGACAGTAATATAGAAAGGAAATATTCTTTCCATAATTTGGCTTGCTCTTCATATGTTTTCAATATCTGTCCACAAGAGTCCCTGATGGGCATGAGCTGTGATAGTCTGATTCTTTCTGAGAGGTCTTTTATATAGCAAGCAGCAAAAATTGGATTGAAAGTAAATGCAGAGAAAACCAAGATTATAAAGGTAGGACACTGGACAACAGATACAAAAGTGTACATGGATGGAAAAGAAATCGGATGGGTAGATGCGTTCTGCTATCTGGGGAGTGTGATGACATTTGAAGGTAACTGCAATGCAGATATTTATGTGAGATTAGGAAAACAGACACCACTACTGGAAGGATGAACAACATCTGGACAGAGGTCTTACACCAAGGCCAAATTTGATCTGTTGGGCCTTTATTAGTGGTGATAATATGCATGGTGGAAAGATTCCAGATTGACTCTCAGAATCCAGACTGAGATTGTAGGCTGTCAGTTTACAAGTAAAAGGATGTTTTTTCCCCTAACTTGAGTACATTTAGTGGGGAGATAATTAAGAAAACAATAAAGACAGATATTCACACAATGCCATTTTCACAGCCATTTTTCAGAACAGACCTGAATTTTGAGGTACACCCGTCATCTCCCTCCAGCCTCAAACCTGACTCGTCAATATGATACATCTGATATATTTCTGTAATGACTTTTTTGATACATTAATAAAATATTTGAAATAAAACTAACAGTTTTCATTCAAAAGTACTCAAAGCAATAGTATACATTTGCTTTCTCCACTTTAAGTGCTGAAAAAGGACTCCACTTTCTTTTATGGCTTAAATCCACTAATACACATCCTTGTGTATACATAGTGCTACTCCTCTTTTACTAACACTTCAGATAGGCACAATTTCTGTTAATGTTTCTAATGGAGGTCCATTTCGAATAAAATATGACCCCTTATTATAGACATCAATGTATGTTTGTGTGATTAAGCAGATTTCTAAAGTCACCACTGCACACTTTGTTTTAAGTTTCTCTATTGCCTTTCCATTAAGAGTGCTTCACAGAAATTATGTCTGCTTGTTAATGGAAATCTACAAGAAACTACGAATAAATTCTTTTCTTACTTATATGACCTAACAATCTGCTGTGCTTGTTTAGAAAAGGATTGGAATCTCAAGCACTTCTACAACAATGACATTTTTCTAAATTACACAGAAGTCTGAGTTGTGAAATGGTTCTCCTGTTAACCTCTTCCATGACCTAAATTATAAAGATTAAAAGATGTTCTCCCTTAGCAAAAAGTGCCGTGCATACCTAAGTCCTTTCCCAAGATACATCTACGCTTAGGGTGGTGTGTACAATACAGACAATGCATGCCCAGCTAGCAGTGTAGATGGTGAGGCATGGTTAGGCAAATCGAGTAGAGTACCCTACATGGCTCTCTACATGGCTAAGCAGCGCCTCCCACGTCTACACTGCTATATTTGGCAATGTAGTGTCCTACTGCCTCCACCCTGCTGGAACCTTTCCACACAGCAGGGAAGACTCTAGCAGTAGAGAGCTACCTAAGCCCTTCACTGCCACATGTAGATACACACCACACTTACAAACGTGGACACAACCTGCCTTGCCTTTTACTGTGGCACATAACTACATGTATCCCACACCACGCCGCAAGTGTAGACAAAGTCCTAATGACAAGATTTTCTTAGGATGTATCTGAAAGCTTCTGTGCACATTTTGCTGAACTTAATTGTTTTCATTACTCCATCTTGATCCTGCTTCTGCTCCCTATAAAATGTCTTAGTGCCAACATTTTGCTTTAAAAAGCTCACTATATTTTCTAAATTAATACAAACAGCACGTCCACAAGCTCCTCTCACTTTTATGGTCAGTTTCATACTCTGCTTCTGTCTTACACTATTAGTTCTCAAGAATAAACTTGGAGAACTGAAACAACAATCTAAAGCGTGGTAACACCAGTAGAAATTCAAAGAGCATGAACAGATTCCGCAAATCCATATCAAGACTACTTCAAACGCACCATTCATAAAAGATTATGGGTGATAGCCACTTTCTGTTCTCCAACAGTCTGCTCTACTCAATGAGTAGAATATGAAACATTAAATTAATGGACGGGACACTGAGGCAAGAGAAATATACTTCTAAGATCTATCAAGAACTTATTAAAATTTAATGTGTGTATGTGTCCTAAGAAACTACAGTGTCTTCAAGGATCCATTATAGCCTTTAAAGAAAAAAGTATGGTTAAAAAAGTCCCACCCACAAAAAAACAAACAATTTGTAGTAAAGACTAAATTTGGTCAGCCAATAATGTTAAAAACAAACAGAAAAAAAGCTGACTTTATTTCAGTAACTCAAAACCCCTCCTCAAATTATTTTTCAAATTTGTTAAAAAAAAATAAAAATAAGAACACTGCAAAGAACCCAAACAAACAAGAGCAGTTTTCAGCACTGGAAAATAGGATTTTAGACTTTCAGAAAATTGGGGCACACAATGAGGATTAACAGACCTTTAGTTGCAATACAAGCTAATATGATAATTTACACAAGCAGTTTTACTTTAAAATTATCTGTTGAAGTTCAACCTGATTTTATTTAGGTTAAATAAAATTTAAATTATTGTCCCTTAACTCCTAATCAATTACTACTTATCACTTATATTGCAGTAGAACTTAAAATGTGCTAGATGCTTTGATCCTCCATGCACTTGAGTTTTGGTTTTAATTCTTGGTTTTAAAATACCAATTACAGAACTGTGAAAATATGTAATAAAGGTTAAATGTGTCAGCGTTTTTGGTATTGATGTCATATTAATCTGTATATCAAAGATATGCAAAAATGTTTTATTATTTTAAAAGATTACCGTTAACATAAGAAAGATGAAAGCAGATATTCCTAAAACGAGGATTTCTTTATTCCCTTTACTCTCCACATGCAACTTGCGATAATATGGTCCTATGAGATAAGTCTTTATAACAAGACATATAAGAAAAACAGCAGCCAGAGAAAAGAGAATTTGGCCAATCAGTATCAGTATTCTCAGTATTTCCATGACAGTGCTAGAAAAGAAAAAGAGAAAAAAAAATGTTATTTTACCTGTTCTCTTGCCTTTAAACCAGTTTTCCTCAAGTGAAAAATCTAATGACAAAGGTTTTCAAAAAGGGTTGCTAGTTAGCTTCCCAGATTCATATTTAGGAAACTCAATACAGGTCTTAATTATCAAAACTGCAACGCACCCAGTAATTCCTGCTAAAGTCTAGAATCTACTCCCATTATGGTCCAACACAGCCTGTATTGGCTGACCTTCAGGGCACAGCATATGGCTCAATAATTTACTTAGGCTTATATTTCAACAGGATGATTATGGGATATAATGAGATGGTATGGAAGGCATTTAATTTCATGACACAAATAACTTTTTCCCCATCATTTGATTTTACGTGAAGTATTGGGGTGAGGTGTTCTGATTTAATATTATACATATAAATAATATAAGGGTGCACATAGCATTGGATGACCATGTTTTGAGAAACCTGTAGGGACAGGAATTTATAATTGTACTGTAAGAATTGATGTAAACCTTGATTTCATTCTGCCATCCACTCTTTTTGAATAACAGAAAGGAATGACTGTCTGAGACTGAGATCCTGTTTCCCATATGCATTACAATTAGGACCGGTTATAAATTTTAGTTAGTAAAAAGACCGGATTTTGTATTGTGTCTATGATAAATAGATTAGAATTGTTGAGAGCTTGAAGCCAGTGTGAATCATTTTAGTTATAAGATTTAGCAAAGCTTAGTTTACAATGTATTCTGCTACCTTTGAAGGTTTCTGTGAAAGACTGTGTGAATGAGCAAAAAGAAAAGGGAGTACTTGTGGCACCGTAGCTCACGAAAGCTCATGCTCAAATAAATTGGTTAGTCTCTAAGGTGCCACAAGTCCTCCTTTTCTTTTTGCGAATACAGACTAACACGGCTGTTACTCTGAAACCTGTGTGAATGAGGAATGCATGCATCAGGAAAAGATAAAGTGTGAAGGCCATTGTTAACCAGATGGTCAAGAAAGGGGGAGTGAAGACACTTATCGAGATTTGTTGAAGCCAAAGAACCATCAATGCGTACCCATGATTGAGGAAGGGCAAATTGACAAACCTGAGGTGAAGGCTGGTCCCCTAAAGACAACTGATTAAATCGAAACCAGGACAGGATGACCCTTTCAGAGGTGTTTTGGAATGTTAACACCAATCAAGGAGTAACCGGTCAGAAACTGACACAGCAAAATCTATAGACTTCAACAGAGAAAAAGGACTATAAGAACAGGGTGCTTTGTCATGGGACTTTGGGTTCGTCTTGCCACACTCCAGGAGCATCAGATTGCGACCGACAGAGCCCTGCTCCCTTCTGCGACCAATCTGTCTGGCCACTAGATTGATCCAGACTCTGGACTGGTAATTATAAACATCAACTGGCAGAGGGTGTGTGTGTGTGTGATTAAAAAGCATACGCTAACTGTTGTATTCTCAATACATATGGCATATTTGCCTTCTCTCTTATAAAAAGATCCTGTGTGCTTTGTACAGCATAACAGACATTAAAAATTCTAAATATAGTTTTGTCATAGCCATACACAGATCCTTAAGCTTATGGGTGGGCAAATTCTATAAGCCACAAAACAATGAGGCTCTCTTCAGAGACAAATAAAGTACAAAAATAAATACATTTTTAAAACCTCTTTACCTGGAGTATGTGCTGGCTCCTGCTTGAATAAGGGTCGGCATAACAGCTATAAACAAACCAAGTTGTACATCCTGCATTACCAGCATACCAAGTAGTACACTACTGTAATCAATATCACCTGTTTGTCAGAAAAAGAAGCTGATAAAAATATAGCTTGATGCAGACAAAACATTTAATGGCATCTGTAACAATGTTAGTAGTAACCATATATCTAGAGACTTCTTCATTGACTGAAGATATAGAATACAGTGTTATATTTTTTAAATCAACTACGGCAATCTAATTACGGAAATAATTATAAGCCATTTACAGGAAGCTTTTATCATGGATTAAAAATAAGATTTTGCTAAAGCCAGCTGATCAGTTGTTGGGTATATCATTTCTATTCTGTAAACTAACTAAGATGCTGTAGAATGATAGACACAGAAGCCTGATGAATAGGCATAGCATGCATAAAATATTTATTTTAAGTTTCATGCAATGGGATGTGAATAAATCTAAGTCGATGTCCATTAAGGAGATATGCAGTTTCTTTCTTAATTAAAATAGACCTGTGGGGAAGAAGAAAGGAAGTGCTCAAAAAGCTTATGAGGGGAAAATTTTGGGAATCATTGGGAAAATAAGCAGCCATTATGCAAGGTACATTTCTCCTCTGAAATGTGTTCAGGTAAAACTCTTCTGACTTTCCATATCTATTCCATATGTGCATTCAGAATCATATCTGCTTCTTTAGAGATAAGAATAAGTTTGCTTTTCAGTCCTGTTAGCACTGTGGAGTCAAAACAATTAAGAGATTGAGCTGCATTCTATTACTTCTTCTGTATCAGAATTGTTTGTTAATTTCCGATCAGTTACATCTACACAAACCCATTGATAAACAACAGTTATGAACCTTTCTGTAACTGTTGTTCTTCCAGATATGTTGCACATGACCATTCCAATGTAGGCATGTGCATGCCCTGAGCACAGCTGCTGGAATTTTCCCCCCTACTGGTATCTGCCAGGTTGGCTCCAGAACTCTCTGGTGCCACACACTCATAGCGCCAGTAAAAGGACCCTGCTCCACCTCAGTTTCTTCTTATCGACGGACTCTGACAGAGGGGTAGGAGAGTGGGTTTTGGAATGGACATGAGCAACATATCTTGAAGAACAAAAGTTACAGGAAGGTTAGTAACTGTTTTTTCTTCGAGTGCTTTCACATGTCCAATCGAATATAGATAATTCACAAGAGGGATAGCTCAGTGGTTTGAGCATTGGCCTGCGAAACCCAGGGTTATGAGTTCAATCCCTGAGGTGGCCATTTAGGAATCTAGGCCAAAAATTGGGGATTGGTCCTGCTTTGAGCTGGGGGTTGGACTAGATGACCTAATGAGGTCCCTTCCAACCCTGATATTCTATGACAAGCAGTTGTACAGGAAGTGGGTTTGGAGTTCCAAGTCAGACTGACCGCAAGGCTGCCTGGCTGACATTGGCATCGTCTCTAGCCTGCTCGGTGATAACACAGTACATTGAGAACATGTGCACCGACGACCATGTTGCTGCTCTGTAGATGTCCTGAATAGGGACTTGTGCTAAGAAGGCAGCAGAGGAGGCCTGTGATCTTGTGGAATGAGCAGTCAGATTATCTGGGGGTGAGATGCCTGGATACATGAAATAATCCAGGATGAAATTCTCTGGGCAGAAATGGAAAGACCCTTCATTCTCTCTGCTATTGCTATGAACAGCAGAGTTGATCTGTGGAATCGTTTGGTTCCTTTGTATGTAGAAAGCCAGAGCCCATCTAACATCCAAGGACTGTAGGCACTGTTCCTCTCTGTTCACATGACATTTAGAGTAGAATACTGGTAGGAAGATTATTTGACTGCAAGGGAATTGCAAAACCACCTTTGGGAGGAATGACAGGTGTGGACGCAGCTGAACCTTATCCTTGAAGAAGATAGCATTTGGGGATTCCAATGTAAGGGCACAGATCTCTAAAACTCTTCTGGCCAAAGTGATGGCAACTAAGACAACCACTTTCCAGGAGAGATGCAACAGCAAGCAGGTTGTTAGTGGCTCAAATGGTGAATCCATGAGTTTCGACAAGACAAGGTTTAGATCTCAGAGAGGAATGGGTTTTCTAACCTGGGGGCATGCCATCTCCAGGCCTTTGAGAAAATGGATAACCATCTCGAGTGAAAAAATGGATTGGTTGTTGACCTTGGGATGAAAGGCTGAAATGGCTGCTAGGTGAACCTTGAACTGAAGAGAGGGACAGGCCTGGTTTCAGCAGCAGAAGGTACTCCAAAACGAGTTGCAGAGAGGACTGCGTAGGTAGAATTCCCTGTTGGGAGGACGAGCTGGAGAACAGCTTCCATTTTGCAAGGTAGGTGGCCCTAGTGGAGGGTTTTCTACAGCCAAGTAGGACTCTATGGACCTGCTCCGAGCAAGCTTGCTCCTCAGGATTCAGCCATAGAGTTTCCAGGCCATCAGATGAAGAGAGCTTAGGTTCAGATGGAGCAGGCAACCATGGTCTTGGAAGATCAGGTCTGAGTGGAGAGGAAGCAGTCGCAGGGTCTCCACCGAAAGGCCTCCAAGCGGGGTGAGCTAATGTTGCCTGGGCCATGCTGGGTCTAGGAGAATGACTTGCGCTCAGTCCTGCTTGATCTTCATCAGAACCTTCTGAATGAGCGGGGTAGGAGGGAATGCATAAAACAAGTGATTTATCCATAACAGGAACGTGTCTGTGAGAGACCCTGGGCTGTGGCCTCCCAGGGAGCAGAACTGATGGCATTTCTTGTTGTTGTGGGTAGCAAACAGATCTATAAGGGGAGTTCCCCATGCTTGGAAGATGTCCTTTGTGATGTCCAGTTGGAGGGACCACTCATGTTGAGAGAAGATAGATCACCTCAGCAGGTCTGCCAGCTGGTTCTGCATTCCTGGAAGGCAGGACGCTTCTAAACTGATTGAGTGTGCGATGCAGAGCTCCCACAGCCGGATTGCTTCCTGACACAAGGTGGAAGGGTGCGCTCTGCCCTGTCTGTTGATGTGTAACATGGCCATCATGTCTGTGAGAACCAAAATTATCTTGTTTGTAATGTGGGGTAGGAACACCTGACAGGCTAGGCAGACTGCCTGGAGCTCCCTGACATTGATATGGAGGAAAAGCTCTTCTTGAGACCAGAGGCCATGAGTCCTGAGGGGAGGGCTCCCCAGCTGAGGTCTGATGCATCGGATGCTAGAGACATGGACAGTTGAGGCAGAAAAAAAGGGTACCCTCACACATACCACACAGTGGTTCAGCCACCATGTCAGTGAATCGAGGACCTGAGCGGGAACAGTGAGCACCAAGTCCAGGTGAGGTCATGAGGGAGAGCATACTGCAGCCAACCAGGCTTGGAGAGGTCTGAGACGTACCCTCACGTGTTGCACTACATATGTGCATGAAGCCATGTGGCCCAGAAGACTCAGACTCTTTCATGTAGTCGTGATCAGATAAGCCTGGAGGGATCTTATCAGGGCTGTAAATTGAACAAAAGTGATCATCTGGAAGAAGGGCCCTTGCCTGCACGGAGTCGAGAACTGCACCAATTAACTCTATCCTTTGGACAGGAATAAGAGTGGATTTCTGGTCATTTACCAGAAGGCCTAGTGGCTGGAAGGTCGATTGGATGAGACGGATGTCAGCTCTGGACCGGCCTCTAACCAGCCAGTTGGCGAGATATGGGAATACGAATATGATATGAAAGGGATATGAACTCCCTTTTTTCTGAGAAAAGCTGGCACCACTGCCACACATTTAGTGAAGACCCATGGGGTGATGGACAGGCCGAACGGAAGAACTGCAAACTGGTAATGAACTTGGTTCACGACAAATCTTAGGAATCGTCTGTAGCCTCAGAAAATCAATACATGGAAGTATGTGTCCTTGAGATCGAGAGCAGCATACCAATCCCTTGGATCCAGAGAAGGAATGATGGAAGCCAAGGAGACCATGTGGAACTAAGTTCTTGAGATAGCGGTTGAGACAACGCAGATCTAGGATTGGTCTGAAACCACCCTTGGCTTTCAGGATTAGAAAGTAACAGGAATAGAACACCTTTCCTCTTAGGTTGAACAGAATCTTCCACGGCTCTGACTGAAAGGAGGATTTGGACTTCTTGTTCCAACAGTTGCTCATGAGAAGGGTCCCTGAAGATGGACAGGGAAAGGGGGTGAGACGGTGGGGTAGACAAAAACTGGACGATGTATCCCACTTCAATTGTTCTTAGAACCCAACGATCCGAGGTGATGTGGGTCCAGGCATAGAGGAAGCATGAGAGTCGGTTGGAAAACAAAGGGGAAGCTGGATCCTGTGTTGAGGGGATTGTAATGTTGACCTTGAGCGTCTCATCAAAATGAGTGCTTCAAGGTCCCCGAGTGTCTGGGGTCAATCTGTATTGGTCCTGCTGAGGAGATTGATGGAGGGAGCCCTTCATCTGAATCTCCTGCTCTTCCTCCTCTGTTGATCTTGTCTTGCTGACTGGGCAAAGCAGAAGCCAGTCTGTTGGGGCCTCTGGTGCTTTCTGGATACAGCCAGGATATCATCATCAGACAATCCCTTGATTCTCTACCACAAATTTACATATGGGTCCTGAGATGACTCAGGAGCCCTATCCTGGAACCACAGATCTGCCTGCAGTAGGTAGACATTTCCTGGTAGGTCAGCTGCCTGCTGGGAGAAAGTTCTTTTTTTTCCTTTCCTTCTTTCTCTTTTCAGCTTTGAGGGCAAGGTATACAGATCAAAGATTTCAAGGTCACCTTAGAGTCTTTAAGGTTATCTAGTCTAGCATCTGTTTGCTCTGAAAAGAGTAATGAGCCTTCAAAGGGGAGGTCTTGAAGTATTTGTTGCACCTCATATAGAAACCCTGAGGACTGCAACCACAAGCTCCTGTACCCGGTTACAGCTGTGGCCGTTGATCTGGCTGCAGAATCAGCAGCATCCAAAGCTGCTTGAAGGTAGGTCAGTGCCACTGTTTTCCCTTCCTTGACTAAGGATGAGAACTCTTGTCTAGACACCCGGGGGGAGCAAGTCCTTAAATGTTAGCATGGACTCCCATATATTAAAATTACAGCAGCCTAGCAAGGCTTGCTATGCTGAGCTGTAGAAGTCCGTGGAGTAGGCCTTCTGAACAAAAAGGTCCAATTTCTTTGGGTCTTTCACCTTCAGCACGGACCCTGCTTGACCTTGTTGATTCCTTTTGTTGGCAGTCGCCATAACCAGGGACCCTGGGGGTGATGCAAGGAAAGGAACTTGTACCCTTTAGCTGGTACAAAATATTTACGTTCTGTATGGTTCACTGTAGGAGGGATAGAGGGAGGGATTTGTCACAGTGCCCTGACTGGGTCCATAATGGCCTCGTTAAGTGGTAGAGCCACTCTAGAGGGACCCGCTGCAGACAAAATATCTAAGAAACTATGTGTTGTCTCCTTGACCACCTCTGCTTGTATTCAAAGTTTGAGGCTTCCCACTTTAACAAATCCTGGAATGCTTGTGGTCATCTTGTGGTGGGGACACCCCTGCTGCCACCACTGCCTTGTCTGGGGAGGACGATAAAGAGGCTATGACCAGCCAAGCTGCCTCCGTCACTTCCTCAATGTCAGCAAAGACCTGTGGTACTTCTTCCTTCCTAAGAAGGAAGTGGGCGGAGTGGTGTCAGCAGTGCCCTTTAGACCAGTGCTATGAGTGCATAGCACCAGAGGGCACTCGAGCTGACCAGACGGATACTAATAGGGGAAAAAATTCCAGCAACTGTGCTCAGGGCACGCACACACCTACACTGGAATGGACATGTGCAAGCACTCGAAAAAGAACAACAAGTTGCACAGTTGTCTGAGGTTCTGCACCAAAAAATTAAAATTTTCTGCACACAGTATTTTAAAATTCTGCAAATTTTATTTATCAATAAATAAATATGGCGGCTCCAAAATGGCAATGGGGAGCACAGGCCACTGGCTGCATGGAGGTGGGAGATCACCCCCAACCATCCCAGGACATGGACTCAGCAGTGAGGCTGCACCTGACCTTGACACAGCGCAAGGCCTGGACCTGCCCCCTGCGCAAGCTGCACCACGTGCGGGCAGGCAGGCTCAGCCCAGCAGATACAAGTGTGGAGTGGCTTAGTGTGGGTGGGATCCAGTGTGTGGTGAGAGGGTTTTGTGTGGGCCAATCTGGGTGTGAGCAGCTTAGTTTGGGGTCCAGGTATAGGGGGTCTGAATGCACAGAGGCTTGTTGAGGGTTCCAGGTGAAGGGGCAATAGGACTCTTCAGGGGCTCCAGGTGAAGTTGGTTGCAGATCAGAAGGAGGGGTCTGAGTGTGTAGGGTTCAGAGGGGGGTCCAGGTGTAGGGGACTCATTGGGATGGTCCAGGCGCAGGGGGATGCGGTTCATCAGGATAGGGGTTCGAGTGTGGGGAGCTCAGGGGGAAGGGAGGTGGTCCAGATGCAGGGTAATGGGGCCAGGTGTAGGGCCCGGGTGCAGGGGGGCGCTGAATGCAGGAAGTGAGACTCGGTACGGGGGATTCAGGTGGAGGGCTCGGTATGGGGGTTCTGGGTGTGGAGGGGTGACACTTGGCAGGGGGACTGGATGTACAGGAGTTGGACGGACGGGGGGTAGAACTCCCCATACAGTGACCCTTCCCCCAGGGCGGAAGAACTATGGGGGCAGGAATCGGAGTGTGTGTGCAGAGTTTCCTGCAGCCCAGGGAGGTTTCTGAGGGGGGTCTGACCCAGCCCCAGCCGCTCCTTGCAAGGAAGAGGAAGTCCCATCCTCCCCTAACCCCAGCCTAGACAGGATTAGCAGCTGAGCCAGGCACAGGGTAGGAGCTACTGGCTAGGGCATCCCTAGCCCTGCCACTCCCCCCGCTATGGTGATTTACTTCAAGTACCTGAAGCAGCCAGCAGTGAAGTGACGTGCCTGTGCTGCTGGGGAGAGGTACATGACCACTCTTGCAGCTTCCCTTTGCTTCCCTGTTAGAAAAAGTCATTTTTCTGCGGGGGAGAAAAAAAAATCTTTGGGGACATGAATTCTGTGGACACACAGTGGTGCAGAATTCCCCTAGGAGTAATCATTTGACTTGAATAACCTTTATTATTGGTCATGATTAAGGCTAAGATTTTATCATGGTTATTTTTAGTAAAAGACATGGACAGGTTATGGGCCATGAACAAAATATCACGGAAGCCGTGACCCGTCATCTGTGACTTTTGCTGATGTGGCTCCATTGTTTCCCCTGCCACTGTGGTGGCTAGGAGCTGCTGGGTTTTCACCTCCACCCCACAAGGCTGTCCCCAGTTGCTGGAACCTGAGGCAGCTGTCGCCTGTTGCTGGAACCCTGCCGGGGCCGCACTGGCTGCCAGCTCCAGTCCCACAGACCCAGGGGCTGAAGCAGAAAATGTCATGGAGGTCTCTGGAAGTCTCTGCTTCCATGACCTCTGTGACGTTAAAGTAGCCCTAGTAATGATAAATGAGAAGTAAACAACAAATTTTGATTAATAGAATCCAGGTTGACTTGTAGGGCTGACAGTTTGAAAACAAAACAAAAATCTTTTCACCTGTAAACTGAGCAAATAATTAAACATGGAATTCACACACTGGAATTTTTACAGTCACATGGAGTAGAATTACACTAAGTGAAGTGTGTAGGAATGGGAGTACATTTCTTCTAAAAGGAAAAAACTAGCAAATGCAGAACAAGTGCATAATTTAAGGAAAACGTTCAGATTCAGAGCCCTGAAATTTCCATTCATAATTTTCTTAGATATTTATTTAACCAAAAACTATTCATTGAGAATGCTGTCTTAACTTTCCATGTAGGTGGATGTGCTACAGAAGCTAAAAGCATTTGGGGGTAGACTAATTAGCAGGCCTCAGACTGCAGAAAGAAGGTGCAAGTTATTGGGTCAGGCCTTTCTGCCCTCATGGCAGATTGGTAGTAGCAGTCTTAAACTGGCGATTTAGCACAAACATGAAAATCACCTGTGGCCGAAAGGGTTAAAAATCAGTGTGGGACTCCATTACAGAGGGATGTCATAAAAGAGAACATGACACCTTATAAGTAAATGATGTTATTATCTATTCAGATATTTCTATTGATATTTTAGAGGAAGTGGGCCTGTGCAAACCATACAAAAACAAGCAAGCACCAATGCTTGGTATTATCAAATAATATTCCAGGCTCCCCATCAAGTTAGTACATTAAATAGTAATGGCAATGTTCTTTTTTCTATTTTGTGTCAGGTCATTAGTATGATGCTCAACCATTTTGAGAATTTATTACAGACATTTTTAATCAGTGCTGTCATTGGGACAATCCATATGTAAATTGCACCTACCTTCTTTATCTCCTCGAGCACTCCCTACAAGGAATCTGGATACTAAGGGTGTGCTGGATAAGGATAAACAAGTAGAAATGAAGACACTCTGTGTTGGTCTAATCTGTAGTAAATGTCCCCATAGTAAGCCAAAAGCAATCATCAGAAGTGTCATGTAACAGGGTCCTTGCAAAGATATCTTCCACACCTTGAGGATAACACAGTTAGATTTGTATTGTATAACCCGAGGGCTATTCTCTCATTGATGAATGTTACATTGGTTTTCAATGCAAATGAGTAGTAAAATAGATCCATGTGATTTTGGGCTGCAGAACTATACCATACAAGTAATAGCCCCCCACTACACAGCTCTGCTGAGACTATGTTCAGTGTTGGGTACCTCATTAGATGTATTAGACAAACTGGAGGGAGTTCAGAGAAGAGAAATGAAAATAATTAAAGGGCTAGATGGCCTGACATGGTAATTGTTGACAAATTGAACTATACAAACACCACATAGGCAGAGGAATTATTTAGCATGATGCAAGGAGTATAACTAGGAGTAATGGGATAAAATAAAGAAAAGGAAAAAAAGTTACATATCAGGAAAAACCTCCCAAATATGAGCACTACCATGCTATGGAACAGCTTTTAAGAAAAACCCCACCCCCCAAAATTATTTAAAACTAGACAGGACAAAACACTAGAAAATATATTGTAGCAGGTACAACTCAATCCAGCAATGGCAAGGTATGGATTAGTATATGGTTTAATAGGTCTTCATCTTGAAGAGCTGTAATTTATGAGTGTCTAGTGAATATAATTTACATAATTAAACTTAGATACCCATATAATTGTCCACATATCAATAAAATAGACCTCCTTTTATGAGCTCTCACTGACTTTTAACCATCAATTTAAAACAAACATAAGCCATGCAAAATGTGTCTTTTAAACTATTAGTTATTTGTATTATTGTGCTAGTTTTAATAATTTATTTTGCAACAATATATTTTCAGTTAAAAATAATGTATCTTAACCTTGCATCATAAAACTAGCTGCAGTTTCTGACTCTCTACATTAACAAGTCAACTTTTCTTTAACATATTTGTCTCTTTTTTGCTGAAGTCTGACTGTCTCAATATATAAATTAGGTTATACTATGGTACATGTCTAATCAAGGGCCAACAGGCTCTTACAACACATTTCATCCAGTACACTTTATGTTGTAAATCCATCATATGGTGTTTAATCCATTAACTGTGCCTTGCAGGACACATGCCTGCATCACAACATTGTGATGTCTACACCTCTACAACTGGATTCAACATCACAGTGTAATATAGTTGGATTGCCCTGCAGTAAGTGTGTGTCTTAATTTCCTAGAAATCATGAACTGTTCTGGGAAAATCAAGAGGGATATTAAAATAGGCACTAGGATAACATTTTTTGCATTCTTTCTCCTCCACCTATCTCCCCCTTCACGCTCAGTATCTGTGGAAAGAACCAGAGATATTTCTCTTACTTTTAAAGATCATGGTCAAACTACATTAAGATATATTGTAGACAGGCTTTTAAATGCTGAAATATAATTGATAACTTCATCACGACCAATCAAATCCTGAAATGCAGAAGTTTTATACAAAAATACCTTTCTCAGCCTTTCAGGGGAAAACTCCAGACCAACTAGAAACAAGGTGAAGAACACACCAAACTCTCCTAATGTCTCCACTTGTACAATAGACTGCAAAATAAGAATATAAAATGTTCAGTGTACTAGTCTGCTTACGAGAATATAATCACATCTACATTACTATTTTAGCTACGCAGTGCTATGGGACATAGGATGGTACATGTACAAATTTCTAGACAGGCAGTACCCAAATTGTGGTCTATGGAGCACTTACTGGTAGTCATATGGTGCTGGCTCTCTTTGTTCACAACTATTTTTGAAGGTGGCCAGGCTCTCTTTTACAAAGATGACTTACAAACAAGAAGGAACCTGCCTACCTGCCTCTTTTTAGGGGCTGTTGCTACATAAGGAGTGGTGAAAACAGAACAAGAGCTGCCTTCAGGAACTGGCGCCACCAATCACCAATAGGAGACAAATGTCCCAAAGAGTGGAAAAAAATAATGAAGCAGCTGGGCAACATTTCCAGAGGAGAAGGAAACCAACCAGCAGGGAAGTAGGTGCAGGACAAAGACAAGGGGACCAGGTGGCAGAGAAGCATGTACAGGTGCAGCAAGGGGAGAGAATAATAGAACAGATTAAATGAAGAGCAAAAGTAGGTATTCGTTTTTTTCACAAGTGACTGAACACTTCACATTAGACAGCTAAAAATACATAAATACTTCCTTGCAGCAACTACAGCAGTTACTTTGAAAAGTGATATTGGCATGTTATGTGACTGGAAACAAAAGGGTGATGGCCTGTGCAATCGCACAGAGGTGGTGTTCTGCAAGACAACCTCTCTATTAACATGTGGTGCACACTATGAAAATTATAACGAACCCCTGATCTGTTCTAAAACATCTTTATCACTAAACAGTCAAATTTTTAAAGCATGTGTCTACTGTAAGTACACAGAATTTTTTGTAATTACATATTCATTAACTACCTTCTCTCCAATTTTCAATCCCTCACTTATTGGGCAAATCTCTCTCTTGGAAACTAAAGCTTTGCGTGCTTACTCTGCAAGTGGACTTTTGCTAAGATTGGCTGAAATGAGTTTTGCCATTTTTGTTTGTATTCTTCTAGGAATGCATGAAGGAAGTTGAAAATTTGAGTTTAAGAGAAGTTTATTCTTCCTCCAACAGATTATTTTATCTATGTTTTAAGTCCCACCAAACTAATCTTCTGTTCTCCATTATTGCTACAATAGTCCCTAAACTCCCTCCCCTGCTTCGTCCTCACAGTTTACAGATTACCTGTGACAGATGAAGCAAGACGGAGATAACTAGAGAGTCAGTGACAAATCTTATGTTGAGTCAGATTACAAAATACATTTTTTTTTTAAAAAGATTTTATTCTGTGGCTATGCAGAAAGCAAAGAAAGTTTTCAAAGCACTCAAGTTTGCAGAGGCCAATGCTGAGCATTGCTGAAAATCCCACCCATAACATTATCATCCTTCAGTATTTGACAGTGATTATAAATAAATGTGTTAGGATATAGATATTCAGGCCTGTCTGTAAAGGCCTATACTCTAAGAATTTAGGTGTATTCCTATCACTTGGCTAGTTAGAGGTTTAAAAGAAAGAATCAAAATCACTGTCTGCCAGTGTAAGGGCCTTCTCTTACTGTGACAGTCTGAGGCCCTGTTCTTAGGCTAAGGCCTTTGGCTAAGCAACAGAGGCAGCCATAAGCTGGGAAGTGAATGGTCACATCCTCACATTCCAAACTAGTCACATTGAAATAAGGTGCTATTGGGCTGTTAGGAATTTAATCCTGTCCTTATAGTGCCTATCACCTCCAGAGAAAGGGAAGTGCCTAGAAGCTGTAAAAGGAAATTGAGGTTGATAGTTTTCTGTCTGGTAAGAACTCACTTATCAATAGACACAGCTGGGAAACTCTTATATCTTTACAGATGTAGTTGTGAAATCCTCACTTCTGTATTGTTTTGTCATTATAGTTCCCACTTTGCTATTGTTTATTGGCATGGTCTGTGTCTGGTTCTGTGATTGCTTCTGTCTGCTGTATAATTAATTTTGCTGGGTGTAAACTAATTAAGGTGGTGGGATATAATTGGTTAGCTAATCCATGTTAGGATTGGTTAGTTAAATTTTAGTAGAATGATTGGTTAAGGTATAGCTAAGAATATTACTATATAAATTAGGGGCAAACAGGAAGTAAGTTGGGATTCGAAAATAAGGAAAAAGGAACTTGTATTTAGCTTGCTGGAAGTTCACCCCAATAAACATCGAATTGTTTGCACCTTCGGACTTCGGGTATTGTTGCTCTCTGTTCATGCGAGAAGAACCAGGGAAGTGGGAGAGTGAAGGAATAAGCTCTCTAACAAAATGCATTAATATAATTTTGTAAGAACCTGACAAGTGCATGACTAACTGCATTAAAATTAATGTAAAGGTGAAGAGACCAGTGCCATTATTTAGTGGAAACATTGTGTTCTGAAAATGTAAATGGTCACTGAAGTCAGTGGGAGCAGAGTTAAGCCAATGCCAAGTACTTTTGAAAATACCATCTATAAGTTTATTTTCAGCTGTAAAGATTTGAATTCTAAAAATGTTCAATGTATTTTGTCTACAAAAGGAATTCATAACAATCCTCATGTGGTTTGCATTAAATACTTCTTCAGTGTTTGTAAAGCACTTTGAGATCTTTTGATTACAATTCCACAGATCAATTTTTACTCATCTAATTTCCCATTTTATAGCAGGGGAGACAGGCCTAGAACTCCTGTTTACACAGACAAGAATTTCAGAGTGTTTATTTCTCTTGTGTTTTTGGCAATAATTCTGACAGAATTAAATTTAAAATTAGAGATTCTAAAAGGGCTGAACTTGGTAAATTTGTAAATAAATGCCTATTAATTGCACTTACTGAATATGGATTGATGTCTCCTGAGCTAAATGTACATGAAGCCAAAGGTAGTCCTAAATCACACCTCAAAGGACACATGTCTCTGATGTCTTCATAAGGGAGGGAGCCTCTGCCTAGCTACTATATTGCTTTGCAGTGTTGAATATTTTCTCGACCTATAATTAATTCCAATAGACTGAAGTTGGTGCTCTTCTCTCTGCTATTCAGAAGCCCTGTGGTTGTATCTCTGATCACTCTGCCACCTCTTTGCCTTTCATTGCAGGGAGAAAATGACACAGTGACAGCAAAGTGGAGAAGGCAGATGCCTCTCTTCCCCTAGCAACAGCATCACCACCTAATACTTCTCAACAGTTAGAAGATTCAAAGCAAGAGAGGTAGATAGAAAACGGGATAAAGAACACCATTGATTATGGGGAAGTGAGAGATGTTCTCTGTACCTCCCCAGACTAGAATCCGGCCTGCCTCTCCCTTCCTCCTACAGGCCGCATCCTTCTAAAACTCAGAGGCGATAGTGTGAAACAATTCTTAGGTTAGTGAATTTTATTTATTTACTCATGAGAAACATGACAGATCATAGGAGAAGACTTGAAGAGCTCTTTGTAAGCTCAAAAGCTTGTCTCTCTCACCAACAGAAGCTGGCCCAATAAAATATATTACCTCACGCATCCTGTCTTTTTAATATCCTGGAACCAACATGGCTACAACAACACAGCACAGATCACAGCAGAGCCCCTGAGTAGGAGCAACTATAATACGGAAAAGTAGGGTTTTATTCCAACTCCACAGGAAAACAATTTCTCACTGTAATTAGCCTAGAGAAAACTCACTTGCTTTCATTTAAAAAAAGTAAGTTTTTACCCTTCCTGGGGCTGGAGAAAAACTCGAAAACATGAATGAATGCTAAAGGATCTGAAATCAGAAGGCAAATAAAAAGAACACCAGACGTAGTCTCCTCAAAATCCTACGATTTTCTGGGGCCTGTCTCATGATTTTCAAACAATGGAAGTTGGCAATACTGTAAATCTTTAAAAAAATTATTAAAGCAACCCTAAAAATGAAGACAGGTATTAAAAAAAAAGTCATTCTCTTACCTTAATGCTGTTTAACCCTGATGGTCCCAAGAGTACTCCACAGATGATGTACCCAAACATGGTTGGCAATCCTATCATTGTGCACAACCAGCCACACGGCAAAGATAACATTCCTATGGTCACAATATCCTAGTGTATAAAATTGATTAATATATTAATATAAAAGTCATGAGGAAGTTGTGGTGAAATTAAGGGCTATTTCCAACCCTTAAAGTTTAGTGGCAATGTAAAAATAAATTTAGACAATATCTTCCATCTGCAGAGTTCAAAGAACGTTACAGATATGAATGAACTGAGCCTCAAAACTCTTATGTGGTAAGCATCACTACTGCCACTTACAGATTAAGAAACTGAGGAACAGAGTTGTGTTTTTGTAAATGTAATATACCTTGCCTGTTTTTGCAGCTGAGAGGATTAAAAAAGTAATTTTTTTAACCTGTAATTGATGTTTCTGTATATTAGACACACAGCTCTGGAAAGCTGCTCTCAGCACACAAGTCAGACAAAAAGATCTGACACAGATCAGACAGTGATATTATGCCAAAAGTTTTGGCTCTGAGGACTTTGAATCCTGCCATGTCTCTCTTGACCTTCCCAAATGAAGCTTCCATAAGAGAGAAATACAAGGAAATATTAAAGGAAGAGCTAAATCCATAATATTAAAAAGTATCAGCCAGAAGTAGCTCATATTCCCAAATGAAAAACAAACCAACTGTCGCAAAAAAATTCAAAATGAACAACAAGAATGCTAATGAACCACGTATATCAAAGCATTAATATCTGTAATACTAATGAGAGACCTTCCAAACTGGTGTATCCAAAATACAGAAACATCATTTACATATAAACATTCTAATTTCTGGATTCATCAGTCTGGAATTAGTCCCTTACAGAAGAGAATGGCGGGGGTGCATGCAGCAAAGTCTTTAGATAACTGATCTCAAAACTGGCCAAAAATGTGGCAAAAACATGGCCAAAAATGTCTCAGTAGTTACATAAAGTGTTGGTCTGGTGAAAAAGCATAAACTACAGGTTTGCATCTCTAATTCTATCCAGATCTATCCCCTCTCACATCCCAAAAAGGAGGCGGCCCCAGGCTTTCATACTACAAGCTCAAAATCAGATAACCTTTGCATTTTTCTTTGCCCATTTCTTTCTTCTAATATTTTAGCTAGAGAAAAACAAAGGAAGTGTTATGTCTCCTACCGGAAAGTGAATAGACAGAACAGAGTTTCTTACTTCTTGCAAAAGATTCTGCACCACCACCACCACCACCACCACCGATTCATTGGAACTGCAAACTGATCTGAAGATTGAGGGTCCTGGAACAAGAGGATGCTCTATGACCCTTTTAGGCAATGGTTCACAGTCCTGATGAAGGGGAAATGACTCACTACGAGGGAGGAAACACAAGAAATGTGTGTTTGGGAGAGACAGGGCAAGACCAAGGATCCTTTACACCAAAACATCTGGTACATGTTGACTGGTGCTTCTGCTAGAAGCTCACATGATGAGAACAACTGATACAAGTTTTCCAGACTGGTGGTATCAGATTGCAGAATTTTTTTTATTTTAAACTATAGTCTTAGTATGTACAGTTCAAAGGGCTGAAAGAAGACAAGTGCTTTTGCCTTGTCTGAAGAAATTTGTTTTAAAAATGTTTAAAAGATTTGTTTTTTAAAAGTTAAGGGCTGATAATAGTGTTCTGAACATGTAAAATACATTCTTTTCCTTATCTTCAGGAAGATCAAGGTAAGTGCAACACTAAGTTTTTGATAAGGGAACAAGGGTGGAATTTGAGAACTTTTCCATCTACTAGATCAAGATAGACAATACTCTAAATAAATGTATAACAATTTACCTTTATGAAATGGCGATCAGCACGAGGGATGGTTGAATCCCTGGGCTTGGTAAGTATATACTGATTGTTTTGGGAATCAATAAGCATGCTAAGACCTAAGTCATCTTCCACTTCTCTTTTTGAAATATTTCTCTTGGAGTCTGCTTCATCTTCTTCCACCCTTAAAACTGCTTCAAAGTTGACACCTCTCACCTGGCAGAAAGCAAGCATTTCTCAGTAGAAAATTAGATATTCAAGTCTCAGACTGATATTTTTTACACAATCTGCTTTTTATAACAAACGTATAAACAAGTTCAAATACTGATTAGATATTGAGGGTTTGTTACTATAAAGTTAACACAATTAGGAATTTAGGGAATGAAGACACTGATGGGGACAGGCATGGATGGCACTAGAGTGATGTCAGTGTTGGAAGGGAGGCAGTATGGCCTAGTGTATAATACACCAGACTGGAATTCAGGAGACAGGGTTCTATTCCTGGCTCTGCCATTGATCTGCTGAGTGACCTTGGGCAAGTAACTTCACCTCCCTGTACCTCAGTTTCCCCGTATGTAAAATGGGTCTTTCCAAAGCGCTTTGAGATTTACAGATGAAAGGCGCTATATAAGCGCTAGGTGTTATTAATTAACAATGAGTGTTGAAGACTCTGAACATCTAATGGGCCAATATGAACACTTCTGGAGTCTGTCTCCTAAAAGGAGTATTTATTGTATGTGGATTGCACATGACAAGTCCTGTTTGCCTGTTTTATGTGCGATTGCTATTATCTTGCATAGGAGGCTTAATAGAATTATTTTCCTTTCCTTTTTATAAGAACATAAAAATGGCCATACTGGGTCAGACCACAAGTCCAGTATCCTGTCTTCCAACAGTGACCAATGCCAGATGCTCCAGAGGGAATGAACAGAACATTCATCAAGTAATCCATCCCCTGTCGCCCATTCCCAGCTTCTGGCAAACAGAGGCTAGGGATACCATCCCTATTGTATTATCCTAGTTGGCTATATTTTTGATGAAAACTTATGTTTAGATTACTGATTCTCTGTTAATAGTGCTCTTTTCCTTACAAAAGTCTGGTTTGTAGCCCAGGTTTGGTATTGTTACATGTTTTGCTTTGGTTCAAGAAAAATTACAAGAAAATACTGAATGCTTCTTGCTAAACTGAAGTGGGGACCTGAGAAGGCCTCTGACTGATACTTTATTCCTTCTCCCCCACCAGCAGGAGCAGAGGGAGGAAGAGAGAAAAGAAATATATTGGAGAAAAAGGAACCATTCAACCTCTTGCCAATTAGCAGGAAATGCAGCATGAAAGGGGTCTGCAGACACACCTGGCCTCCTTCCACACAGCCTGACACCATTAGGCTGTACCACTACTAGCAGAGGTAACAGAACACAGTGCTATTGCCAACTACTCCCTGGTCACTGGTGCTCCTGCTAACCATGACCCCCATCTACAAGGATGGGCCAGCTTAGAGTAGAAAAAAACATAACAGCGAGTTGTTTCCCAGCAGGAGGCCACCACAAAAGGGGCCTAGAGAGGCCCCGGCTCCCTCCTAAAGGACAACTTCCTGTCCCCCGTAACACAACTCATGAACTGCACAGACCTTGCACCAGGTACTGCAAGCCAACAAAAACCTTTCCCACCAGAACTTCCAAGAGTAGAAGCCAAGGCCAAAGAGCTGCGACCTTATGTTCAGATAACAGGACTGACTGGAGAGGCTCTAAGGAAGGCTGATGGAGAAGGCATGGAGAAATGGATGTGTTCCTTACTCCAACACACGCACAAGGTTAACCTGGGGATTGTTTCTTTCCCCGAGTCTCCCACACCCACAGAGCCATTGCAATTAGTCCAAGATACTGAAAACAGATGAAGTCCATGGAAAAAAGCCACTGCAAATGCAACAGAGGTGTTTCATGCCCTTACCTTGTACACTATTCCTTTTTTCAGACTGTGAAACCTAATTTCAAGGGTTCTCCTTCTCCCATTATATTCTCAACAAAAAAGGAGGAAGAAAAAAAATCAGAAATAAAAATGGAGGCTAATTTTAACAGGGTGAGCCTGTATTTTGAGAGCCTAGACACTCCAAATATCATTGGGCTAGAGGACCCTGAACGGTTATGTCAACATCACGATGTGCAAGTCTGTTCCACAACATAATAGTTAAAAGCGGCAATCATATTTAAGACTTCCAGACCATAAGAGACAAAAAACACACTAGTGATATGGGAGATGACAGAGTACCTGCTTCCTGGCAAGCAGTCATAATAGCTCTAAACAAACAATTTCTTCTGTGGGAATCAAGGGACAGGAAAGATATGTAATAAGGTCAAATATTTTAAAGTTGTCACTAAAATTACCACCACTATTTATTACATCTGACATAAAAGTAGCATCAATGCAATGCTTAGTTCGATCTAAAAATGAAAGTATATGAATTAAAAAGCAGAACGATTTCTACAATGTCACTTACTGATTTGTTGTCATCAAAGGCATGTTCTTCTATTTCCTCTTCCAGCCTATCGGCCGCTTTCCTAACATCTTCAAGAATTTCATCTAGCATGGACAGGCTTTTATTTTGATGCTGCATGTTCTTAAGGGCTTCAACCTGATGTTTTTCTGCTGCTAAAAGTTCAACATATTCTGTTTCCTCCTGTTGGATTTTACAGCAAATACGAATGAAGTTTTTATTTGATCTTTGAACAGGACAACATTCCACCTTATTAACATTTATTTATACTATTTTTGAAACAAACCATTTTACAAGAATTAGAACTTCATAGCAAATTTTATGAAAATAATTCTACTGAGACTTTACAGTTATTTTTCTACCTTTTATTTATTACTTGAGAAAACTCATCTTACAGGTGGATTCCTCTGTTCTTTTAGAACATTTAAAAGCAGTTGGAAAGCTGAGGACCAGGAAATATCACAGAGGGGACACCCTAATATATCTTCTAGAGAGTTTCTTAATTCCAAAGCCAAGTACAATTGAAAAATATATATTTTAGCAAGGAAATTAGAGCATAGTGAACTAAAAAGTATGACTTCACTAGCTATTACCAAGCAAACAAATATAATGGAAAATATGCTCAACGTTTTATAAACCTCTATATAAAATCAGGAATTTTTTTTTTTTTTTTTAAAGGCCACAATTGTGCAACCATAAACAGAAAAAACATGAACATGTCAAGTGAACTCAGAAAAGGGAAGGTGAGATTTATAAGCATGCTTTCCAACAACAGAAATTAGCAGGTAAGAAAATATTTCTCTTTTTCAAAGATGCATCCGCTAACCCTTACAAATGGGATGTAGATAATCAGAAAAAGTGTTTACACTGAGAAAAAGCATTCTAAATAGAGAACAAGATGAAACAAAAAGGTAAGCCTGTGTTTGGTTTGGCTGTGACCTAGAGATCGCTCTGGTAAATAAAGCTTCAGATACCAGAGATCCAATTCGTAGCACGTGGAAAAAGTAGAGATCAACAATCAAGTAGCTGTGTTGCATAAAATGGTTGAGGTTCCTGCTCACTCTGTATAAAAAGACACTGCTGCATTATATGCCCTGATGTCAGAAGGCAATTAAATGCCTGATTTCTTGTGCACCTTTCCAATTCAATGTCTTATGCTTTTAGTCTGAAGTGTTTTGGTCCCTGCACTTCAGATGTAAGGAAGAACAAAGTGCTGACATCTGGTGATTCAGTACATTACAAATATACTGTTATGGCTTCACTATCAAATTTTAGCTGTTTCTCCTCCTCTGGAATTTCAGGTGCAGAAAGATTTCAGAGTAGCAGCCGTGTTAGTCTGTATTTGCAAAAAGAAAAGGAGTACTTGTGGCACCTTAGAGACTAACCAATTTATTTGAGCATAAGCTTTCGTGAGCTATAGCTCAAGTGAGCTGTAGCTCACGAAAGCTTATGCTCAAACAAATTGGTTAGTCCCTAAGGTGCCACAAGTACTTCTTTTCTAGGTGCAGAAAGGATAGCAGAACAATGGAAGGTGCAATATTATCTATTGACAATGTACCAGCTCAAATAGGCTACTGGTCAAGGTTACAACTACTAAGATTGCAACCTTTAACTAGTAAGTAGTTACTGAAGCAAGAGATTCATAGGATGCTCTGTCAACAGGGTGGAGTGATTTAAATCAAGGCTATTTAAATCATGATTTAAACCACCAACTGGAAAGCCTTGAATTAAATAATTGATTTTAAATCAACTTTTCTATTTGTACTTGTTCTTTTCTAAAGAAAGGTGCATTCTCATTGGCTGACATAACCATTAAAACACCTTAATTTACAACTAGAGTCTTTGTACCAAATCTAGTGCATCTTTTTGCTACCTAGGAGGGTACGTTATAACTATATCTGTTTTATTTAAGCAATTACATAATAAGAATATGAAAATATTAAGCTAACTGTACATTTTAGTATGTTAGAAAATGGTGAATGATATATTGCTTATTAACTAATTAACTTTCTCATGATTTGTGTCAAGGTGCCTTAGGATCATAGAATATCAGGGTTGGAAGGGACCTCAGGAGGTCATCTAGTCCAACCCCCTGCTCAAAAGCAGGACCAATCCCCAATTAAATCATCCCAGCCAGGGCTTTGTCAAGCCTGACCTTAAAAACAAAGGAAGGAGATTCCACCATCTCCCTAGGTAACACATTCCAGTGTTTCACCACCCTCCTAGTGAAAAAGTGTTTCCTAATATCCAACCTAAATCTCCCCCACTGCAACTTGAGACCATTACTCCTTGTCCTGTCCTCTTCCACCACTGAGAATAGTCTAGAACCATCCTCTCTGGAACCACCTCTCAGGTAGCTGAAAGCAGCTATCAAATCCCCCCTCATTCTTCTCTTCTGCAGACTAAACAATCCCAGTTCCCTCAGCCTCTCCTCATAAGTCATGTGTTCCAGACCCCTAATCATTTTTGTTGCCCTTCGCTGGACTCTTTCCAATTTATCCACATCCTTCTTGTAGTGTGGGGCCCAAAACTGGACACAGTACTCCAGATGAGCCTCACCAATCTAAGGATGGTAACTGGAATTTAATTAAAAACACAAAACCGTATATCCAATTTATTTTTATTAAACAAAACAACTTTAAATGTTTTGGATAAATCTCTTATCACAACATGCATCACATTTACAACTAAATGATTTATTAAAACAGCAGGATTAACAATAGCCAGTGAATTAATATTTCAAGTCAGCCTTGGGAAAAATTTCAAATATGCCTAAGTGAAAATGACTGAAGCTTAAGTTCCTACTCACCTAAGTCTATTCAAAATGAGAGTCTCCTAAAATTACTTAGGCTGACCTATTGTTCCAGATTTATAAAGCTTGACTTCAAACGCTAGATGTTTTCCCCGATTCTTCATATAGAAAAGCAGCCTTTAACTCAATGTTTTTGATAAAGGCTCATGGAACCAGCATATTTATTTTAAAATTAATGTTTTAAAACATTTTAATAAGTTTAGGCCTTAACATATTTTGTATTAAGTTTTCTTTTTTAAAATAAACCTGTTTAAAATGAAATCTGAATTTATTATAATTTAAATAAAATTTTAAAAAAATCTGATTTTTTCCAAAAGAATTGTTGATTTTAAATCCACTGTCTCGGTCAGAACACAAAACATTACCATGAGTTTCTTTGGAATAGGGAAGAGAACGAAGGTGGTAGAGAGAAACATTTTTAAAAGACAGATGCATTAACTTAGTGAGAGCATGTAAGAATTTGGAAAATAGAATGTGATGCCAGGCTTCTGCTTTTGTTTGGATCCAAAACACTAGTAACAGCCACTATCTGGACCTTAATGGATCTAACACCAACACCAAGCATAAAAAATTGTATTGCATGTAGCAGAAGACATGAGCAGTTCTTTCTTTTATAAATGACATTGTTCTCCCTTTACACAGAGAACAAGTCCATCCCATTTAGTGACAAATCATGAATAGCTTCTTTGATGTTAATGTTGTGACAACAATCTGTTCAGAACAACCCTGTCACTTCAGATTACCCCTTTAAAAAACTCTTTCCAGTCACAGACTCCAGGTTGTGACGAAAACCCTGGCCTTGGTGTACAGATTTGTTTATTGTCATGTTTAGAATTGCCAGAACCCACAGTCTCACTGGCACGATGAAAATTACCCTTTGCCAGACAGATCTTTGACAATGTTCCTAGAATAAGTGGTCTTGGGGGAAAAATTAACAGCAAATGTGGCCAGGCCAAATGTCAATAGCTTTAGCTTTTCTATCTAGTCCCCTGGTAAAGACTATTTGCACTTTCATACTTTTCTGGGAGGCTGTATGCTTCCCAACCCTTTATAGCTCTCTGCTAGAAAGCACTGTTTGAAGGGTAAAAACGTCTCCCAGCAGCTCTGGATCTGATGCACAGACACTCTCCTTGGACTGTGAGAGAAATATAGGATGCCTTTAGAATCCTGGTGGTTTTTCCTTACAAGAGGAGCAATTCATGCCAGCTCCTCCCCTAGGTCAGGACTGTGACAGGTTCGGCCACAGAGACCCCCTTGGGACTGTCACCTGATGCGTTGAGACTACCGCTGAGCCCTTTTTCCCTGCCAGCTTTGGTCTTCAGAACCCTGCCTTGTTGAGCCAGACACACTAGCCTGCTGCAAACACAGAATCAGGTCTGAACCATGTCCCCCAAAGCTGCAAACTTAACTGAGAATGGCTTAGCAAGTGTTCCTGTCTCTAGCACCCAGACACCCAGCTCCCAATGGGATCCAAACCCCAGATAAATCCATTTTAAACTGTATAAAGCTTACACAGGGTAAACTCATAAATTGTCCACCCTCTATAACACTGATAGAGAGCTATGCACAGCTGTTTGCTCCCCCAGATATTAGTCACTAACTCTGGTTCAATAATAAGCAAAAGTGATTTTATTAAATATAAAAAGTAGGATTTAAGTGGTTCCAAGTAATAACACACAGAACAAAGTAAGTTACCAAACAAAATAAAACAAAACCACGCAAGTCTTAGCCTAATACATTAAGAAACTGATTACAGATAAAATCTCACCCTCAGAGATGTTCCAGTAAGCTTCTTTCACAGACTGGACTCCTTCCTAGTCTGGGCCCAATCCTTTTTCCTGGTACAGTTCTTATTTGCTCCAGCTCAGGTGGTAACTAGGGGATTTCTCATGACTCGAATCCCCTTTGTTCTGTTCCACCCCCTTTTATAGCTTTGGCACAAGGTGGGAATCCTTTGTCTCTTTGTGCGTTCCCTCCCCTCCTTATAAATGGAAAAGCACCAGGTTAAAGATGGAGTCCAGTACCAGGTGACATGGTCACATGTCCTGCGAGCCCTGGCTCCTTTCCTCCAGGACTGGCCTGCATGTGTGCAGTGGAGGCTTGCAAGTAAACAGAGCCATTTACCACCAATTATCCTTCTTGATGGGAGCCATCAAGATTCCAAGCCACCATTAATGGCCCACACTTTGCATAGTTACAATTGGAGTTCAGAGTAACACTTTATATTTCTAGCTTCAGATACAAGAATGATACATTCATACGAACAGGATGAACACGCTCAGTAGATGATGAGCTTTGTAATGATTCTTTACAAGAGGCCTTTTGCATAAAGCATATTCCATTTACATTATATTTACACTCAAGCATATTT